GTAGTTGAAAAAATCCTTATTGATTATCTTAGGTCAGTGGTCAGCAACCTTAAACACTCAAACAGCCACAAAGGTCCTAATCGGAAGCCCTCACCCCACCCCCACCCTGTTCAATTCTGGAGCCGACCGGAAGTCCGGTTCCCCCACCATAGAGTCTCCTCCTAGCGTGGCATCCTTTTTCCTCTACTAGTCCTAACCCTATCAATTGTGGGCTGACCTGAAAACATGCCCCTTGCCATAGAGTCTCCTCCTGGTATGCCCTGCTTCCCCCCCCCCCCGAAGCTCTTCTCAAAATTGTGGTGCTGACTGACGATAGGGAGCCGCAGCAGAGGGATGAAAGAGCCACATGTGGTTCCAGAGTCGCAGGTTGCTGACCCCTGGCTTAGGTAATGGCATAGTACCAGCATGTACTATCTGTAGTATGATCTACTACTGGTTTGGAGGGAGGTAATGTTGAAATCAGCTATAAGGAGTCTTCAACTTACGACCACAATTGAACCCAAAATTTCTATTGCTAGGGGAGTCGTTTGCTAAGTGAGTTTTGCCACATTTTATGACCTTTCTTGCCACGGTTGTTAGCTGAATCATTGCAGTTGTTAAGTCAGTAACACAGTTGTTAAATGAATCTGACTTCCCCATTGACTTTGCTTGTCAGAAGGTCTCAAAAGGGGGTCACATGATCCCAGGGCCCTGCATCCATCATAAATACAGGCAAGTTGCCAAGTGTCAAGTGCCAGTTTTGATCATGTGACTACAGGGATGCTGCAATGGTCATAAGTGTGAAAAACAGTCTTAAGTCACTTTTGTCAGTAACTTGGAGCAGTCACTAAATGAATGGTTGTAAGTCAAGAACTACCTGTATTGTATGCAAATGTAAGGAACAATACTCTAAAAGCTAACTACTATAAATTTCAGCCCTGCTCTTGTTTATTCTACGACACATGCAAACTTATGTCTGTGGATAAATATGAGAACTTAAGATACTTTAATATTATTTTACATTCTTACAAATATTGTTCTTCTGCACATTAGCCCATAACATTATTTTTGATAACCAAATTGCAGTTGTACATACACTGTTGCAATATATTTAAATACATATTTTTATGGTAGAAGAGAATCATATGTTTTCATATTTTCCACATATTCTTTGAGAAGATTTCTACCAGTAGTTCATAGATTTATCAAATTGATAAGCATATTCAGATCTATACGTGAGTCTAATTTTGTCTGTTTCCTAATTAGCAAGAATTTAATCATTGATTTGTCTACAATGCATCATTCCATAATTTTTCCTCGTGATAGAATTTGCAATATCCAAGTTCTTTCAAAATCTAACGAATGCTAAGCTGTTACCATAAGACACTCTACTGTATCAACAATTACCGTATATGTTTTAATGATGCACTTGTAGGACAAAAGTATTTAATAATGCTAGCTGAGGAATCATTTCAATTTCCCAATGAAATTTCCCACTTTTTCTGAAAATCAGTTTCTTGACTGTAGGTTCACAATAGGTAAAATATATCTTGCCTTAGTTCTTCAACTCATCCTGTGAATGATTCATCATGATTGTTTCATTAATATATAGTCATCTTGCCTAGAACATTATATTGCGCTTGAATGATTTACTGTGACATTTCTTGTATTTGTGACAAAATAGATTTATAAGGTAATTTTTTTGTACTCTAAATTTCTCAATTTATCTCTCGTGTTTTATTAATGTACCACAAATCATCATCAAAATGTTTTTTTTTATAAATTACTGATCTCAAATCCATTCTGGTTCTTTTCTGCCTGCTTTAAGTTATATTTTTGAATTCAGTTAGAATCTTAGTACTGTTATTTTACTTTTCAAAACTATATCATTCCAACTAAGAAACAAGAATTCCTTTCGCAGTCAACAGGAAAAAAAGCCTCTTTTCTAATAGGATTCTCATCCCCGTAGAAGTTCTACAAGTTGAATGAGTCTAGTTTTTTCCAAGTTTGTGGCTCTTTAAATTTTTTTGCTTAAATCAGGATGCAGAATGTTGGTGATAGCAAAGAGCCTAAAAGGCTTACGTTGTATTTTAGGACATAGATTTTATTTCACATGTGTCATTTCAATTGCACTTTTAGTATCTATTATCAACTTCTTTAAAAAGGACTGTATTCTTTTACAGGTAGTTCTTGACTTATGATCACAATTGAGCCCAAAATTTCTGTTGCTAAGTGAGACAGTTAAGTGAGTTTTGCCCCCATTTTTCTTGCCACTGTTGTTAAGTGAATCACTGCAATTGTTAACTTAGTAACATTGTCGTTAAGAGAATTTGGCTTCCTCACTGACTTTGTGTATCATAAGGTTGTAAAAAGGAGATCATATGACCACGGGACACTGCAACCATAATAAATCCATGTCTGTTGCTTAGCATCTGAGTTTTGATCACGTGACCATGGGGATACTGCAATGATCATAAGTGTGAAAAATGGTCATAAGTTACTTTTTTCAGTGAGTTGTAAGTTGTACTTGTACTTAAAATATAGTGTTGTACTGATCTGTTATTTATCTCTACAACCTCAATTTGAACTTACGGCTTTTTAGGATCCCTTATTGAAGACTAAAAGGTTGGTATTGATAGTCCTTATAAGAGAGTTTTATGTAAATTACATTTCATCTCTCTCCCAGTTCTACATGCTGCTGAAAGTTGCTTTTATGTTTGGATCCTTTTACAAAACTGTAATTTTGAAAATTTCCCACTAATTCAGCTGCTTATCAATTATCTGACAGTAGCACAAACCCCCTTCTGCCACAAAGCTTCAGAGGAAGCATCATTTTCACAGCTATTATTCTACTACTTTAATTCAGATTTATTCTTTTTTTTTTTAACCATTTGGCAAGTATCTGTCCACAATGGAGTATAGTTAGCATGTAAGCATTTATTCAGGTCACTTGTAATCTCAGTATGCAGATATCTAATCTGCTTATTATACAAAATAATACATTTTTCCTGCTTCCTCTAACAAAATATTAAAACATACAAATTAACATGTAGGCCTAAACCAGCTTCAAAATTTTTCAGTTCCTCTTTTAATGTTTCAGATGTTTTAATCCTTCAGGTGACGCCTGAGTGAAACATTGCTAGCATATCAGATTAATATTTCTTCACTTTTCTGTTGACTGCTTAATTGGACTCAAACTCCTCCTTCTTTAAATGTTGAGCTAAGGGTTGCATAACTACAGGTAGTCCTCAACTTACAACCTCCACTGAGCCCAAAATTTATGTTGCTAAGTGAGACATTTGTTAAATGAACCTTTCTTGCTATAGTTAAGTGGGTCACTGCAGTTAAGTTAGTAACACGGTTGTTAGGTGAATCTGCCTTCCCAATTGACTTTGCTTATCAGATGGTCACAAAAGCAGATCACATGACTCCAGGACACTGCAACCGTCGTAAACAGGAGTCAATTGCCAAGCTTCTGAATTTTGATCACGTGACCACGGAGCTGCTGCAACAATCATAAGTCACCTTTTTCAGTGCCACTGTAACTTTCAACAGTCGCTAAATGAACTGTTGTATGTTGAGGACTTACCTGTACAATGGAGATATAGTAGGCCGAAGTCCTGGCCTGGTATTTGGAAGCTGGACAAAGCTCTATGAGACAAAACAAAGTTCAAGTTTAATCCTAACAAAACAGAATTCCGTTTTCCCAACAAAAAGCTGGTTTTTCTCTCTGCTCCATTTATAAGGACGCAGGGCTGTGATTCAAAGTGTTCTAGACTCAGGGCTACTATTATTTGGTAAAGAGGTAGTAGTGGGCATAACCTGGGAGGCCTTTACCCAACTTTGTACTCCAGCTGTAACTCTTTTCCAAAGCAGGAAAACCTGGTGATAGGACCTCAGAGTCTTATCACCATGACAATAGACTATTGCAAGGTGCTTTATATGGGTTTGCTTTTGGAGGTTTCTTGGAAACCACAGTTGTGTAATGTGCAACTGTCTGCAAGCTGACAGGCAAGAGCAGTTACAGTATACCCATATTCATAATCATATTACAGGTGCTATGCTTCCTTCCAGCAGGTTTCTTATTGCACGCAAAGTGACAGTTTTAACTTTTAAAGTGCTTAAGTGCTTTGCTTAAGTGCTTTCAGTTTAAAACGAGTATCGTTGATTCACAACAGATTAAATTAATGGCTCAGAGGCAGTGGTCTCTTTGGTGGTTTCCACCCTGTACAACAGTCTTCCTAGTATAGTAGCAGACATTACAACCTTAATAGGCAGAGTTGTCTAGAAAAGCTTGGCTGTGAAACAGTTGAGGATGTGGGGGAGAGAGAAGGTGTGTTTTGTGTTTGAACTAAATCAGCTAGAAGAGAGAAGTATTTTTTTCCACGAGAAGGAAGGGTTTAGGAGGAAGTAGAGAGGCAAGGATTGGACGTAGCGTAAAAAGAACCCATGATCGGTCAAGATTGAGATATTCTACAAGACTTTGGAAGAATGATGTTACCTAAAATTGGTTGCTGTCCGTAACTAAAATTATTGACACTTTATATTTAAATGTTTTTAGTTATCGACATTTATTTTTTATTTTAACTGTACATTATTGTAATTTTTTTTGCTTATACAACTGAAAATTTTTGGGAGTTGCAAGCTTCAACCATATAAAACTTTTAAGTAAGTCCCTGACCAGAGTATACTAAACTTGGAACAGGCTGCAACTATTGTAACATTAATAAGTAACATTTAAAGTACATGAAATTTAATTTCTCTGTCAAATCAAAATATTTAGTTTAAATGTTTTGAGCAGCTAGAAAAGGTACTTTAGCATGTCACTAACAGACCAGGGAAAGATAAAAAAATTAATCCTTAAATAGGAATTAAAAAAATTAATTTTATCAATACAAATGATAGAATAGTACCTACTATTGTTTTTGTGTTTCTCACTGCTTAAATTTAAAATGCTTTTTGTTTTCATTTAAATCATTGCAGAATTTAAATGTACATATTAGATTTTTAATATTTTGTAGGTTATGAGAAGACAGATGATGTTTCAGAGAAAACCTCATTAGCTGATCAAGAGGAAGTGAGAACTATATTCATCAATCAACCACAATTCTCTAAGTTCTGTAGCAATCATGTCAGGTATTTGTAACCAAAGTTTTGTACAATTATCTTACATACTCTCATTGAAAGCCAAAGCACCGTTCTGCCACTGCATCATTAGCTCTGACCTGTTGTGCATATGTGATATCACTAAGTGCACATTGAAAGAGTGGTGCTTGTGCTTCCTTTCACCCACAGGATGTCTCTGATTTGTTACAAGCTATGGTAGGGTCTTTGATGCTCTCTGAATTTGGCTGTTTTCTTGCAGACAAATAAGATCATCAGGCTAGAAGGGAAGGGGGTTTTCAGGGAGAAGGAGGAGGAAGATGTTATGTGTATTTAGACATACAATACTGCATTAACTGTTAAAATCTCTCTTAGTGTACTCTGACTACATATTTTATCTGTTTTTTATGTCTTTCCCTTAATTCCATGTATTTTTAATTCCTCTCTCTTAGCACTGCAAAATACAACATTATCACATTCCTGCCTAGGTTCCTCTATTCTCAGTTCAGGAGAGCTGCTAATGCCTTTTTTCTTTTCATTGCATTGCTTCAGGTAAGAATGTGTGTAAGTGCTCTGCTCCCTCCCTCCCACCCTTTATCCTCCAGTAACATTTAATTGTTAGAAGTCATAAAATTGTTTGTAATGTCCTCAGTGGCTGCAGGCTGTCATTATGCAATGTCTTAAATTCAGATAAAATCTTAGAAATTCTTAGGGAGTGAAATTTTAAACCAGGGCGAGGTTATTTTTTTCTTCTCAATATAGCTATACAGTTTTATTGTTTTAAAACTCTTTTTAATACTTTTAACTATAATGTATATTTTGAATTGTAAGCCACTCAGGGAGATTGACTGACATGGGCGGCCATGGAAATTGAACAAACAAAAAAATACATTGTCTAACTTTTCTTATGAAAAGATTCCTAAGAAGTGTTTTGGGCCCTGCAGAAGCAGAGGTACTTATTAGGGACTTAGCCTGATATTTACCAGGTTATGTGAAAAAATGCTTTAAGAGTTGCATTCAATTTATAATGAGTTGATTCCTTCACAGCATCATCTTTACTCAGACTCGCCCAAAAATCTGGGGGGGGGGAAGTCACCCCACTTTAATGATTAACAAAGAGGTATTGTACCCAAGTGAGGTCCAAAGCACTTTTGCCAAATCATTTTTGAAGAATGTAAGCAATATATCCCGAAACACGTATATTGTTGTACTAAACTTTAAACTGAAAGTTGCTTTACCAGTTCTTCCTGTCCCTGTGTAATGATCAGTATAATAAAGAGTGTTTATGATGTAAGCATTAGTTGTATAGGAAAGACCAACTCCTGTATTTTCTTATCTGTCATGTGATAATGAGTTTAACCCTCCTGACTGAACTTTATAATTGGGCATATATTTTGGCCTCCGTGTTTCTATAGAACATAATATAACAAGTAAAAAGACTAATAAATTCTCAGCTAGAAAGTTATTATGTGACTTTGATATTATGTCAGGCTTTGTTTGGTTCTAGTTCTACACTGTAATATTTATTGTATTAAAGGCTGTAAGGATAATGAGATTAAATAACACATTTTCACGTTACATATTTTTATTCTGGGATAAATAAAAATTCTGGGTAATTTTTTTAAAAAAACATGGGCCATTATTGGTATCAATATTTTATAGGGATTTATTGGCAGGCAAGTTTTTAAATCATTTAAGTTAAAATTCATTAAACTTCTCCTGAGTTCACAGTTTAGTCCAGATGGATCAGTAATGCCTAAAACTCTCAAATTACTATCAGTATTGGAATGTATTTCAAATTTCAAATCTTTATTGTCAGTGCACAACATATGTACAATGAGATTGGTTGAGCTCACTCAGTGCACCTCCCACAACACAGTGAAGACAGAAAATCCCTAACCCAACAAATCATATTAACAAAACACCCAGTCCTATTGCACCAGTGTGAACATGTTACTCATTGTGCTGGCCTTGCAGTCCATCATACTACATAGTTATGATGTTATTTCTCATTCAGGAGTCTGACAGCCCACGGATAAAAACTGTTCTTCAGCCTGTTTGTGCAGCTGGCTATGCTTCCATATCTCCTTCCCGTTGGTAGGAAGGTAAAGAAGTGGGGACCAGGGTGAGAATCATCCCTGAGAATTTTCCTCACTCTTCTAAGGCAACGAGCCTTAGAAGAGTTCATTTTTGGTGATTATAAATATAAAATATTTATTAAGAAATAGTTAATTGCAACTAGGGTAGATAATAGCTCATGGAAATAACCATTGTAATTATTAGTTACCTATTTGAGAAATTTTCCTCATTAGCGTTTAAGTGGATTCTGCTGTTATAACATTTTATTGAACATATTTTCATACAATTAATGTGACTAATATTAACATGCACTTTTCTTTTTATGCTTTAGCAAATTCCAGATGTGTCTCCAACAGGACGGTATACAACTTTGGTTCCTCTCTTATTTATTTTAGTTGTAGCAGCAGTCAAAGAAATAATAGAAGATATTGTAAGTAGCATAATGTTTCCTTCATAACTTTAAACTAATACTCATCTTCAAATAAGATACATGTTTAAATTTAAAGGGATGTAAACCAAGTATACTCATTTTGATTTTTTAATTAATTTTTATGATTTTTTAATTAATTTTTTAGCAGCTAAGCAAAAAAAATCCCTCACATTTTGTTATGGAGCATGCATTTCTGATTTTACACATGCTACGCATGTGATGATGATGTGCCCTTAGGTCAAAGAAATCTACAAACGACTGCTATAGATTTTCTCCATCTCCCAGGGGCCTAGCACTTCCTGTGCTTTTTATTAACTGAAGCATTTTCAATATTTTATGTATGATTGTTCAGTAGAGGGAGTCCTCAACTTACAGCGGACACCCCAAAAGCTACTAATGACCCAGTTTCAAAGATATTGCCGCTGCAGAACTTCTTTGGGCATTAAGAGGGACTGCAGAAATACTGCACGCAGCCCCTCTGTCCATTTCCCCCACCCCACCAGGTTCCTGCAGGCCTTGGGGTTTTGTTTCCCATTCAGCAGGACTTGGCCTCCTCCACAGTCCTCTCCAGGACCCAGCGACACCCCAACTCTCCTTTCTGTATTTTGCAGCTCCTGAGAGAGGTGCTGAGTCGATGTGAGGCTCAGTTTTTTTGCACAGAGTAACACAGCCTTGTGTTATTTTGCTATTCTCTCAATCCTTGGAAGCCTCTGTTTTTACGGCTGAGAGGCAGGCTGAGTCCAACAGGTCCTTGGGTGGACTGTGGAGCCTGATTTGCTTCCCTTGTTAAAACCAAACCTTTGCATATAGAATAGAACAGAACTGAACTGAACTGAACTGAACTGAACTGAACTGAACTGAACTCTTTATTAGCCAAGTGTGATTGGACACACAAGGAATTTGTCTTGGTGCATATGCTCTCAGTGTACATAAAAAAGAAAGATAAGTTCATCAAGAATCATAAGGTACAACAGTTAATTATAGTTATAGGGTACAAATAAGCAATCAGGAAACAATATCAATATAAATCGTAAGGATACAAGCAACAAAATTACAGTCATACAGTCATAAGTAGGAGGAGGTGGGTGATGGGAACGATGAGAAGATGAGAAGATTAATAGTAGTGCAAACTTAGTAACTAGTTTAACAGTGTTGAGGGAATTATTTGTTTAACAGAGGGATGGCGTTCGGGGAAAAACTGTTATGTCTAGTTGTTCTGGTGTGCAGTGCTCTTTAGTGTCATTTTGAGGGTAGTAGTTAAAACAGTTTATGTCCAGGATGCGAGGGGTCTGTAAATATTTTCACTATATTTTCACATTGTAAGATGCCAGACTGAGAATATTTTCCAAATGCATTGATTACAAGAAGTATATTGAATGTTATTAGTTCTGTACAAGCATTTCAGTGATCAGAACAAGACACTGCCTGTTCCAGAATTGTGTCCCAAACACAAAACACAATCTTTAGAAAATAATGGAATAAGCTGTTGCTATGTTGTTCTTTATCCAAATACCACAGTATTTGTCCATCTATATAGAGTTCCCGTTACTTGTCCCAGCTTCTGCCAACCTAGCAGTTCAAAAGCAGGTAAAAAATGCAAGTAGAAAATAGGGATCACCTTTGGTGGGAAGGGAACAGCATTCCGTGCGCCTTTGGCATTTAGTCATGCTGGCCACATGACCACGGAGACCACTTGGACAGCACTGGCTCTTCAGCTTTGAAATGGAGATGAGCACCGCCCCCTAGAGTCGGGAACAACTAGCACATATGTGCGAGGGGAACCTTTATCTTTATAGGCCATGAGGAGGATGTTTTAACAAAAATATTTTGAACAAATCCCATAGCAAATTACCAATGCTCTCTGCAGTCTGCCTGGACAATACAGTACTTTAAAAAAAAAAAAAACTTAAAAGTTATGCCTTGGTTTGCATGAAGTATAAATCACAAAAATATTACCAAATGTGGTATCTTGTGCATAGTTCTCTAACTTGATTTGTTATACATGTTGTGTCAACCTAGTCATAATACACTTGTAACATGTAACTTGCCTAATATTTAAAGTATTCCATAATAGTAATGTAAAAATCTATGTGGTTTGTTTCAGAAAAGACAGAAAGCTGATAATGCTGTGAATAAAAAGGAAGTACAAGGTAGGAAGTTTCATATATAACCATTTTTTTAACTGTTCAGTGAGTAAAAACAAAGTCATATGAAGTTTTCTGAATAAAGCTATTTTTTATAATTACTTTGTCATTTCATTTATTTATATGATTTATATGATCACCCATTACATAGCAGTGAATCTAGATGGTGTTCAAAGTATAAACAAGAAATTGTAAAATGTGAGATCGCAAGCATAGTTGTGGTTTCACTTAGTGACCATTTCTGTTGACTACTGAGTTGCCAGTCCCAATTGTGGTAGCTAAACACAAACTACCGTATTTTTCAGAGTATAAGACGCACATTAGTTTTTGGTGAGGAAAACAAGGGAAAAAAAAAATTCTGCCTCTGCCTGCCAACATCCATCGGTATTCATCTGGTTAACGTCCTAACAGCAAACAGCCTGTCAGCTTCGGATGTTATCGCAGCCTGATTCAGCACAAACAGCTGATCGGCAGTTGGATCGGCCTCCCAGAATACCGCCAATTAGCTGTTCCAGGCTGCAGGGATCGCCACAGCCCATTGCCGCCTCCATGCGTCATGTTTTTGGCCTCTGCGTGTCGCGTTTTCGGCCTACACACGCTCTGTTTTAGACCCGTTCCAGGCTGCCGGGATCACCACAGCACATTGCCGCCAATCGCCACCTCCATGCATTGAGTTTTTGGCTTCCGCATGCCGTGTTTTTTACCCCTGTGCGTCACATTTTTGGCCTGTTCCAGATGGGAATTGCTGCCGCCACCAATCCCCACCACCTGGAACCAGCCGAAAACGCGATGTATGGAAGCCAAAAATGGGGCGCGCAGAGGCTTAAAATGGCTGAAGGGTGGGGGCCGGCGGGTGGGCGGGGCTTTGGCAACATTCACTGTATAAAACGCACAGACATTTCCACCCACTTTTGGGGGGGGGTTCATCTTATACTCCGAAAAAGACTGTATGTACTTGAAAAAGAGAGCACTTTAGCCAAAAAGGTGGGGGAGAAAAGTAAACAAAAAGACTGACAAAATCTTGCACAAATGAATGGTTTTATTTTCAGAATTCTTTTGGTAACAAAATAAACTTTTTTAGAATAAATTTTTGTTCCCACATGGTTTCATTTTGTATTTTTTGGATAAAATGTTTCTGTATAATTGGATCTTGGAGCAAATGTTACATTAGTAGAAAAGCATTTTGATCATTGGTTTAATAGAACATTTGTGGTTTTATTGTTGCTTTCATGATGCAGTATTGAGAAATGGAGCCTGGGAGATTGTACACTGGGAAAAGGTATGTGGTTTCGTTATTGTAAAATTTAAATACGATTTAGATCCAAAGAATTGAACAGACAACAATGCTTGTTAAACATTGTTCTGAAGTATGTTTGTTGTCAAGTTATTTAATATGGTAGTGTTTATCTTTTTTCAGCGTTTTGCACTACCCACTATAAAAATGACAGATTATCAAAGCATCTTATATTCACTGATATAACCTACTACAGGTAGTCCTCGAATTACTGGAGTTTCATTTAGTGACTATTTGAAGTTACAACAGCACTGAGAAAAATGACTTATGACCGTTTTCACACGGTTGTTGCAGCATCCCTATGGTCACATGATCAAAATTCAGACCCTTGGCAATTGGTTCATATTTATGACCGCTGCAATGTCCTGGGGTCATGTGATCCCCATTTGCAAACTTTTGCCAAGCAAAGTCAATGGGGAAGCCAGTTTCACTTAACAACTACATTACTAACTTAACAACTGCAGTGATTCACTTAACAAGAAAGGTCATAAAATGGGGCAAAACTCACTTAACAACAGAAAGTCAAGGACCACTTGTATGTAACATAAGATATAGTATAAGCAGTTCTATCCCGAGAAGAGTAACTCTGGATCTAAATCTTTATATATGTTATAGTGAATTACATTGAATAAATGAAATATATTGAATATATTGTCATTAAAAGGATTGTTTTCTATTTTGTTGACTATATCTTTACTATACTGATTAAATTGTCATTAATTGTTTTATTGAAAGTTCTGATTTATTTTTATTGCCTACATAATAATTCAATGTGCATGTGATCTCTAAAGGGTTAATTTGTATGCTCTGATACGCATTTAGGCAAAAGAATAGTTTATTATTCCATGTCAATACTTCTCAAAGTTGCCATTTCCCTATCCTATTAATCCAGCCCTAGTTATTTTCACGCAGCATAATTAGCAAATATCCTGGATTCTCACAATACATTGAATCAAATGAGCTGAATCGAATCAAAATGCACGTGTATCTTTTCTGTTTAAACGTGTCAATATAACCATAGTGCTAACAGCATCATCATAAAGAATTAAAAAATATTACCTCTCTTGTTTAGCATAGAATAGTGCTCTAATTATTCTTATAAGTGCCTTCATTCGTTATGGATTGCTGTCTTTACTCAGTGGGAAAATGACCACTGGAGAACTGAAATATGAATTCATTTTAGATATTTTTAAGCCATGACAACTATAAATATATATTTGCCCACATAGAAGCTGGTTTCATTGAAATAAGTGGGGATTATTTCTAAGTAGAAATTATCCAAGTTACTCTAGTAATCAATTTTACATAGCTACAAGAGAGTGTCTCTTTCAGTATTTGACTTGACAGATTCTATACTGTACTTTATTAGTCAATAAAAACCTCCCAAATTGTTATATTTTTGTTATTACACAAGTGCTACAGAAGCCCATAGTAGTTTCATTAGTAAAATTTATGTATTGAAGTCAACTCATAAAGTTTTTAATTCTTGGAGGATTAGCTGTCAGACTGTGCAACATGATCTAAATAAGGCAAAGAGCTGACTGACGATAAAGACGTCTTTTGTATTCATACCAAGTCACAAAACAGATCACTCTCTTATTAGGAAATGGTGCTTTACCTTCTGTCGTAAAATGAAAATAGGAATGTGGTCATTCTGTTAAATGGGAGAAAAATAATACTTAGATGAGAATGCCTACCGTTTTTAAACCTCTTATATACTGTCACTTCCATTTTAAGTGGTGTACTACTTTTATTGCACAGTGCGTACTTAAATACAGCAAAGGAAAGGATTATTCTGCTAGTTTCAGACCATTAACCAATTCCCAGTTTTCTTTCAGGTAGATGTTGGAGATATAGTTTTAATAAAAGGCAAAGAATATATACCTGCTGACATTGTACTTCTCTCATCAAGGTAGAGATGTTCATCAATGCTTCCAGAATAGAGTCTGTTTTCTCTCTCCAACTTTGATTCCTAATTGCACCAAGGAAATAAAGAATAAACAGAAGTGTTTAGAACCGCTGAAATATTGAATACATTAATTATTGCTTAAGGAAGCCTACTTCGAACGAATAGTGCACTGGGCTTTCCAATGCATCTGATTATATTTTCTTTCATAGTTTCAAACTCAGAAGCTTTCCCTCCTGGTTTTATTTAATTTATCACCCAAGTATATCAATTGAAAATAAAATGTTAATTTGCAGCACAACATTGTCTTAACATTAAAGCATTACAAAATGTTACTGACATCTTCCTGAATATGTAGTGTTTTAAATTATTTTTTTAAAGCCTCAAGGCATGCTTTCAGATTTCAAAATACTAGATTTCATCCCAGTGAAATTTAATCTTGTTTATCTGTGTTTCCTTGGACAACTCAATATATGAAACATTTCCCCCCCAAATCTATTTGATTGGGTCATTATCTCCAAATATAAATATTTAAAGAGAGTCTTTTGCTACCCTTGCCTGAAGATTTTTACCATATGCAATTCTTGCTTTAATAGGCTTTTCCTTTCTCAATGGAAGCTCTATTTTGTTACTTTGGCTATTTGATTCCTACTCCATCTACTGTACATCATGCCTTCCTGGTAGATGTGCTGAATTTGAATTTCTAGAAATATCAGAATACCTCTCTAAGATAGTGAAACAGCCATGAATTCCAGTATTTATTAATTCTGTTAAAGGAATTCCTAGCATTTGAAAAGGAAATCAAGAGATTTCCCTCCATTCCTTTTTCAAATTGCTTTTATTATTTTGTTAAAGTTAAATAATACACTATTATGCTCTATTTCCTTTCTAATACCATGAATTTGTATTATTGTAAGAGATGACCAGGCTGAACCTGAGGGAGGGGTCAAACATGTCATCAGTCACGAGTCCCTCTGCACCCACAAGAGATCTAAGCCCAGTCCACTCATTTTTCTTGACCGCTAGTAGCTCAGATTCTTGTAGAGAGTTTAAGCTTGCAATAAATCTTTATACTTATTTGAAATGCCTGAATCTCCTGATTTCCCCGGCGCTTGACAATTACAATTGATGTCCACATCTTAGGGTTATTTTTGCTGTCTGTAAAAATATTTTACATTTTTCTGATCCAAATTAAATAGATTTTGAGGGGGGGGAAGGACTGTTCCTTAACACGCTTTATATAATAATTTCAACTTTCTGTCTTTTTTTTTTTAATCCGTTCGATTTCTCCTCTTTTATTTATTATTCTGTTATAATTATTATTTCAAAACTGGTAAAGGTTGCAGTGGGGGAAATTGTGAAGGTGACCAATGGGGAGCATCTCCCAGCTGATCTCATCAGTCTGTCCTCAAGGTTAGAATGAATCAGTTCTAGAATAAATGTGTTTCTGGGTCCTTCTATTAAACCGAGGCAGAAAAGGATTCTGCTGCGAACAGATTGCAGAATGTTTTACTATCTACAAACATTCATTCAAATGGAAGTACAAGGGAATGTTCAACTTTGTCTAAGCTAATAGCAATAGCACTTAGACTTATATACCGCTTTACAGTACTTTACAGCCCTATGTAATCTGTATGATTATTAAAGCCGAATGTGCAATTAAACACCCATGTACTTCAGCATAAATTCCGCCGAAATTAATCGGACATACTTATAAATCAAGAGGCTTAGTATTGCACTTAATACAAAAGTAGTTGATCTATCTCCAGATTTATTCTATAAAATAAACCAATGACTAAAATAAACTGCTTTGATGAAGTTATTATGTAGATGCTATCTAAAGTTTTAAACTCGACTCCCTTGAGGAAGATGGGCTGTCTAGAAACATGAAATATAAATCAATAAATCATAGATCATAAATCATACCACAGAGAACTTCATGTTCTCAATAATTTTACACAATTTCGGTGTTAACAAATGATACATTTTGAGAATTCTAGAGGACCCACAGCACAGACCTAAATGTTGCATGCTTTATATTGCATGCATTTGGATTTGTTGATGGATGAACAGCATGCTACCTCAATAAAAGTAGTTTTAAATACAAGATTCTATATTTGGATTGCATTTTGTTTGACATCATTAATTTTATTTGATTATAGAGATGAATGTCAAAGTATATTAATTTCTGTAATGAAACATATTTTCCTGATCTTTGATGTTCCACTCATTTATTTTCAATGTTCTTCAGAAAATATTCACTCAAATGTAAACCCAATTTGATAAATCGGGTTTATTTTAAATTATATGTACATAATTTGGTAGCTTTCCAGTGCAATCCTGTACATACATACATACAAACTATACTAGTTTGAATTGAGCAGACATACCCCTAGATAGATGTGTAAAGGATTGCAAACACAGTGTATATTTGTTAAATCATATGAAATATGTCCGGATTTAGATACGTTTCATATACTAAAACTGAAATAATTTGCATGCTAATTTGTAATCAGTCAATTACATTTTCAGAAAAACTGACCTTTAAAACATAAATGTAAAGTGAAGAAATTCTTGTTTAAATATAGACACGCTTTGCAACTTTATTAAATATTCAACATTTCCTAAATATATTTAGGGCATCAATGCAAGATCAACATTATATGTATTTTGAGAGATGTGGTATTTTCATACAATGCATTTAATTACAATGCAATTACAATGCAATGCAATCAATTACAATTCTGTTGACCATGATTTTTGTCATTTTTTTGCCAGTTATTTCCTGGCTAAAACAGATTTGCTTAATAACTGCCAAATTCACTTAACAACAGCCTTTACAAAAGTCACAAAATCAGGCACAGTCACTTTTTGGCCTGCTTTGTGATTGCAATGATTTATAATCGTAATTCTGCGCTCAATTACTATCATATGTCAAAGACTTTCTATATGTTGCATAATTGTTTATTTTGTGTTACTTTCTTTATAAAAAACTAGAGAAGTTACGTTATTCAAACCAATGTATTGCAAGCTTAGTTTCTTGTCAAACTATTTAGCTTGCTTTTTCTGTCTTAACAAACATCTGGAATCAGTGAATTTTTACTGATCATTAATGAAGTCAATATGAATCATTTTCTTTACATATTTTAAGGGTCATTTTCTGAAAATGTAAATTACTAGTTCATATTTTGTTTAAAGACAATAACATAAACTAAAGAACAATGTTGTATTTCAGTGAAAATAGATTCTGGACTGCTTAATTTATAAAATGGATCTTCTCTTTTCTATAAGTGAACCGCAAGCTATGTGCTACATTGAAACATCAAATTTAGATGGCGAAACTAATTTAAAAATACGACAGGTAAGAAGAACATTTTTTCCTCTCTGTTATCTTACTGTATATTGCTTCAAGATAATTCACAGTGCATAGTTCACATTACAAAGCAGAATCTTAAAGGGCAAAAAAAATGCATTAAGGGATAGGAACATTCATTTAAGTCCTCAAAAGATGTAGGCACTGATCCAAAGTGTATTGCATACCATTGATGTTAGTCTGTTATTTACATAAAGAAGAATCCGCATTTTAAGTAACCTGGTTTTACCTGTAAAATATTGATAATGTATATCCCTTCTATGTGTGCATTTTCAGAATGCAAGTATAAAAATTAATAACGCTTCAATTTTAGATTTGCAGTCTTCTCAATGCTTTCAGTTTTATTAGGTGTTTGACTTTATACTCAATTTTGTAAAAAATCTTACATGGGAAATTGGGCACTGCAGGTGAACAGGGAGGGAGGAAGAAAACCGAGAGGACAGTATCATACATAAAAAGATAAACATAATTTTTTATAATGAAAATGTATAATTAAAATATGAATACATTATCAGCTGATAAATAATTAGGGCTAGTGCAAATGTATATACCGTGTTTCCCTGAAAATAAGACCCTGTCTTATATTTTTTTGAACCCCGAAATAAGCGCTTGGCCTTATTTTTGGGGAGGTCTTATTATTTTGAGGTGCGTGGAGCAAGATGCGGCTCCTCTTGCTGTCTCATCTGATTTCCAGCTCTGCATTTAAATATTTTCGGGGAGGACTTATTTTCGGGGGGAGGCTTATTTTAGCACATGCGCTCAAAAGCCTGATTGGGCTTATTATCAGGGGATGTCTTATTTTTGGGGAAACGGTATATACATGGGTTGAAATGCGTGAATGCAGCTTAGGGCTGCAAGAAATATTTGAAATTTTGCTTTTGTCTTAAATTTGTCACGTCACCCGTGCATGGAATTGTGGCAACTATAAACAGTTATTAGCAACTAGCAAGTTTAATCCGTAATCATGCATTTTGTATTTGGTTTAGAGTGATACTTCTGAATCATTCCATTCTGCCTTTAACTTTATTATGAACCACTTAAAATCATAATTAAAAATACAGGCTTAATTATATAGATAAAATTCTGTGTCTCTGTGTTTCTAACTGACAATAATTTATATGAGGCACAGTTTATTGCTCCAAACAATATGACATCCTTTATCTATTTATCCTTAAATAAAAATGAATCAGTGTTCAATGCCTTGATAATTATATGAAATTGAGGGGAAAAAAAGAGCTTGTGAAACTGAAGTTAATTGCAGGATGAATTTGCTGATACACATCGTGGTATAATATGATTTACCGTTTCCGGTGAATGCAACTAATAAATTAATAAATAGATGTAAACACCCATATGTAGGAAATCATAAGCTTGTGTTACTTATTCTTAGTTTTTCATTATCGCATTATCAAAACTTTTGTTCGAACAGGGCTTACCACTGACAGCTGATATAAAGGACATTGACAACTTGGTGAGACTTTCAGGCAAAATTGAATGTGAGAGTCCTAATAGACATCTCTATGACTTTGTTGGAAATATTAGACTAGACAGCCACGGGTATGTAAACCTTTGAGTACAATTTCTTTCATAATATTTTTAAAATCTATAAAAAGTAGAATATTGATATTGGTGGAAAGAATATTTTCATTGCTGCATTTTAACAAAAAAAAATTATATGTGTCGGTTGTATTAATTTTAGTTGACTTTCGCTATTTAAAGTTCTGGTAATACCCGTCCCCTGCACCCATTTTATAAGTAAATATTAATTCAATGTGCTTATTCATCCTGCCATTTTTTTAAAAAAAAAAGTTTGGCCATTTTATTTCAGCATCATTGTTCAAACCTTAAAGTTTGGAGAAAGAAAGGGAATGAAACAGAACAGATTTAATCATGAAAACAACCAACCTTTGAGCTCACAAGTAATGATAATTATGCTTTGGCTTTTACTCTTCATTTTACACATTCACCTCCTAGACCTATTTCTAATCGTAACAACTTAAAATGAATGCCTCTCTTATCTGATTCCTTAACCCCACTACTCAGACCTCAACCAGTATTTTTCTGCAAGCATCCTAAAACACCCATTATGCCAGAGAATCAGAATCAAAATAGAACCAGAAGGGAAACTTCAACCGTCATAAATGTGAATCAGTTGTCAAGCATCCAAATGTAAATAACGTGACCCTGGAGATGCTGCAACAGTCAGAAGTGTGGAAAATGGTCATAAGTCACTTTTTTCAGCGCCGTTGTAACTTCAAACCATCACTAAGCGAACTGTTGTAAGTCGAGGACTGCTTGTGTCTCCTTCCCCAAAGGAGCTGATGCAAAACAAAAATAAATTTATGAAACAAATTGTGAAACAATTGGCACATTCAGTTAGAATGTTTCAAATGTCTTAAGTTCAGACCAAAGGAAACTTGAGACATTTTGAAACTTCCACTATTTATGGAAACTCAAAACAAGCCAGTTGCTTTCTTAATTTTCAAGCTTGGAAGCAAGATAGTCCTTGATAAACAAAACTAAGTAGTAACTATCATGCAACATAGGGAAAAATAGGCAGAGTGGATTATTGTAAGTATTTCGATAGCCTACTATAGAAGCAATACTTAAAAACATTTCTAAAGCCAAAACATTTCTAAAGCATAGCAGCAGAGAACTGAACCCAAAAATGAAGAAGTGGGAAATATATTCAGTTTTAACAATGCTCGTGAATCCACAGGAAAAATCCTCCATTAATTTGAGATCTCTTTCTATGCAGGGACGTCGTACTTGGCAATTATGCAACAAACAAACAAGCAAAAAAGCAGCACAATTGTGCATTTGTCAGCTCAAAAGCTCAACAAATGTAACAATGCATCTATTATTCACATGCACAACGCACACTTTTGTGTTTGGCTGTTTGCTGTCAAAGCTCAACATACAAAAGCATAATTTGCTGGAAAATCTCAGCAACTGTAACAACGGGAATATCTATAAATGGTCATGCACCATGCACATTTTTGTTAAGTGGCACTCTGTCCATAAAAGCACAACAGGAATTATCTATGGATGGCCATGGACAGTGTTTGCCCGCAATAGAAAACACAAAGCACACACCAAATACATAATCCGCAACATTTATGTTACAATCCATGAGCTTAATTTCCATCTAGAAGAATTTAATAGTAATAAACATAACCTGGAGGTACAAAACGGCCTAGACTCTGAGAAATTTAAGCTGACAATAAGCTGACTTTGTATAAATATACAAAAAGGATGAAGGCTATTGCTTAGCGCATTGTAAGCCGCCCTGAGTCTCCGGAGAAGGGCAGCATATAAATCAAATAAAATAAATAAATAAATAAATAAAAAATAAACATAACCTGGAGGTACAAAACGGCCTAGACTCTGAGAAATGTGGTTAATGCTGTATTCTCTATTCCCTTTAACTAGTTCCACTCAATACTAACTGAGGTTAAAATCTTTGTCTACAATCCAAGTCTCTGTGGCAAAAGGGTGTTTTGTTTGTTAATTGCAGGAGATTGGAGGACTATTTTGTGTTAGAAATGGTTTGCATATCTTGATTTCCCATTCGGTAGAAATGTACCTAAAACCCAGTATTAAGAAATGAGGCATGCTAAATTCAGCTGATTCTGGCATAGGTTCCAGACCATCCAGGGTCAAGTCTTAGATTGCAGAAGACTTCCTTTCAATGGATTCAGCAGCATTTTAACATCTGGATGGTTTCCGTTAACACGCAAAAGGAAGCTCATTGAAGGAAGAACTAAAGGGGAAACAACATTGTATATAAAGATTTACGATGCTTCCAGGACAAAAATGGTTAGCAAAAATGGTCTGATTTTATCAGCAGCACAAATATAAAAGAAGAGAGAAGTCAAGCCCTTTTGTAGATTAATCACTGACAGCAAATAAAGATGAAAAGCTAAACTGAAAAGCTTTTTCTACTACTGTTCCTAATGATACAAGAGGCCTTATTGATTCATATGTACTACCTCTGTCTTTTTCACTCTTACAAAAAAAAAATCCTTAATGAAGGAAAATAGTGGTGAGGCTTAATTGTGTGACCTGTATTAAATCAGGATGTTACTCAATTTTGGATGCAATGATCAGTTGTGATGATTGACAGGACTATAAAAATATTAGTAAAGGTAAAGGTTCCCCTCACACAGATGTGCTAGTCGTTCCCGATTCTAGGGGGCGGTGCTCATCTCCATTTCAAAGCCGAAGAGCCAGCGCTGTCTGAAGATGTCTCCGTGGTCATGTGGCCAGCATGACTCAATGCCAAAGGCGCACAGGACGCTGTTACCTTCCCACCAAAGGTGGTCCCTATTTTTCTACTTGCATTTTTTACGTGCTTTTGAACTGCTAGGTTGGCAGAAGCTGGGACAAGGAACGGGAGCTCACCCTGTTACACAGCGCTAGGAATTCGAACCGCTGAACTGCCAACCTTTCGATCGACAAGCTCAGCGTCTTAGCCAGTAAGCCACTGCATCCCTTAAAATATTAGTACAAAATAGCAATTTGGATGTGTACAATGCAAAGAGAAACATAACATACCCAATGACAGAATTAAAATTATGTTCTTATTAATTATTATTATTCTTGTTATTTCCATTAAAAAGTCTTAAAGTTGCATTTAATAAAAGTGCCTAAGAATTTCCCCAAAACCCCCAATCTGTTTCTATATTAATGTTTCTGAAGTAGTTATTTTGCAATCGATTCAATGTGACTTAATTTTTTCTGTCTTCTCTTTTAGGACTGTTCCACTGGGGCCTGACCAGATTCTTCTGCGTGGTGCTCAACTCAGAAATACACAGTGGGTTCATGGAATTGTTGTTTATACAGGACATGATACAAAACTTATGCAGGTTTGTCTCCTAACCAAGTATGTTGAAGGTCTTTGGACCTTCTGCTCTATGTTTATGCCATAATGGACAGGAGCAAAAGATCGCCTGATTGGATAATAAATTAGAAGCATGACTATACAGGTAGTCCTCAACTTATGGCCATTTCCCCCCACTTAACAATTGTTGCAGCAGCCCCAGCATCAAAATTCAGATGCTTGGCAACGGACTCACATTTATGCAATTGCAGTCTCCCAGATTGCAGATTCGCTTAACAACTGTGGCAGTAAAGGTCGTAAAATGGGGCAAAATTCATTTAACTGTCTCAGCAACAAAAATTTTGGACTCTAGTGTAGTCATAAGTTGAGGATTACCTGCATAAAAGAACACTTAACACCATGAACTTGCTATACAGATCAAAAAAAATAGTTGGCCATCATTATTATTGGGTAAATACGTTGGTATCATTTGACACATATCAAGGTTATATCCTTGGGTTTCTCAGTTCACTAGATAAACATATGACTCATAAATTAATAAATAAAAGTGCATTTATTTTACTGTCAAATTAAATCGGCAGTAATTTATTTATAGGACAACAGAATCCCATGATACATAAAAGACAATCAAGTTTCTTATCACATACACTTCAATCATTTGTTAATTTTTAAAATGCCACAACACTCTCATACAGCAATCTTCTGTAGATTCCTACAGAAATCTAATGCCAATCTTTTTGGCATTTATTTCAACAGTTGTTCCTATTCTTATTGGCACCTCCAATGGAATGTATCACCCAAGTTAAAACTGTGCCGTATTTTTCAAGCTGTTATAAAATAAGCTATATCATTCATTGACATGAATATTTAAGATGATTAATCCAAGCATGAAAATATCCGTAGACATTAAATAAAAACTAAAATAGCATATGAATGTCATATTTATTATTATTATTTATTATTATTATTTATTAGATTTCTATACCGCCCTACTCCCGAAGGACTCAGGGCGGTGCACAGCCAAACAATAAAAACACATACAATACAAAATTTAAAATTTATTTACTTGTGGACCCTCCTTTTCTTCCACAGAACTCAACAAGCCCACCTCTTAAACTGTCTAACGTGGAAAGGATTACAAATATACAAATTCTGTTTTTGTTCTGCATTCTTATTGCCATGTCTCTGGTTTGTTCCATTGGTGCAGCTATATGGAATCAAAAGCACGAAGGCAAAGACTGGTACATCAACCTAACCTGTAAGCCCTTAAAACAAGTGTGTTTTTCCTGCCATAATGATACCTATATCTTACTTTACGTCTACAAAGTAAAATAAGTGCATCATATATCCTTGTATTTATACCTGTTTAAAACAGAATTATGGTTAATATTGACTAAAGGTTTTAAATGATTTTTTTTATAGATGGTACCCTCAAGAATTGTGTGTATACACTTGCAAAACCATATACAAATTCACCGGAAGACATATTTGTCCGGGTTCAAATTAGAAATTGTGTGAAACCCTGTATAGTAATTGCATTTCATGCATTATTTCAAAGAGGCTAAATGACTTAAATAGCATTAGCACACAGTATTGTGGATTTATAGTTTTCTGTCTGCACTGTCTTCTTAGCAGAGATCCAGTTTAACTGCTATTTTCCAATTTGTTTTTTGACATCTCTATTCAGATTCCTTTCCAAGGCAAATGATCAGATTCAAGAGCAGGTTTCATAGGAACCAGGGTATTAGGAGAGCTTTATATATAGTTTTTAAAATAAATTTAATTAAATAAATTTCTAGAATTATTGTACTTAATGTAATAACTCATGCATGATTTCTCTTTGTTCTCCCTGTTTTAACAGATGGTGGAGCTAATAATTTTGGACTCAATTTCCTGACATTTATCATCCTCTTCAATAATCTAATTCCAATCAGCCTGTTAGTTACACTGGAAGTTGTTAAATTTATTCAAGCATATTTTATAAATTGGGTAAATATAATAATTATTGTGCTATTTGCAGACCTTTTAATAATTCATTTCAAGAATAGAATATATGCTGTTTGAAAATATTTGATAATACAGGCTATTTGTTAAAATAGTGCAGATTAAATTGCAGGGTAAAATATCACAAAATATATTCTTACATGATTGCAGGCTTTAAGTGGTATAGATTAATGAAATCCTGTACAACTAAACCTTTTAAGCTATGACCTTGCAAAAACATGTTTACTCTTAATACAAACTACAAAGACAGATAATGAATAGTCTAATGCAGCAGTGAAATCCTCCCCAGTTCTATCCGGCTCGCCGAACCGGTAGCACTGGCGGCGGGAGGCTCCGCCCACCTGCCGGGACGTCATTACATCCTGGTTATTTTACCATCTGTGCATGCGCAGAAGAGGCGCATGCATAGCGCACCCCGTTCCTGAACCGGTAGCGGAAGTAAGTGGATTTCTCCGCTGGTCTAATGCATATTCTCAATGGAGGAAGTCTATCTCCTAGCCCTATGACTGTCTTTATATCAAAAGTATCCTCCTCCTATCCTCAATATTCACACATGGAATGCAATTTTGGTAAATGTTTAGTTAATAACAAGTTCATACATACCTACAGGTTCTTGCTTAATGTTTTGCTCAAAACAGATTGCAGTGGAGTGTGTGCACAAGTTAATACCCTTTTCAGCTTTTTTATTATTATTATTTTATTAGGATATTGACATGCATTATGAACTTACAGACACTGCTGCCATGGCACGTACGTCCAATCTTAACGAAGAACTTGGCCAGGTATTTTGGGGGGTTTTTGGGAGGGGGCGGTTCTGTTGTTTTATTAATGTGTAATTTCTTAATTTAAATTCACACAACTACCTCCTCTAACTGTCATTTATCTGATAAACTTGGTAGAATGTAAATATTCTCTATCTTGTGTTTAAATGGATTATGTTTACATTTATCCCCCAAATATGCCAGTGTAGAATTCCTGGCTCAGGAATTCTGGGAGTTGAAGTCCACAAATCATAAAGGGGCCATAGTTGCCCACCCCGGCCTAAGGATTATTCTCCAGAACAAGCCAGAGTCTAATGAGACTCATTTATATCAATAACCTAATTCAACCACTATTCTGAACAGCAGAGCATTTATAAAGAGTCCTACAGATGTGGCAAGGGAAAAAAAATGAGCCTGGGGTGCTATTTTTAACAACGTCTCATTACAGGAACCGTTGACAAGATACCATAAATATTGTAACTCAGTAAGCAACACTTACAATTAGTTTTTCATCTTTGTATTTCTTAAACTTCAGTAAAATATTATGAAAGAAACAAAAAGAGAAAGAGTTCCCGGAGATACATCAGCTTTAGGGACACTTCCCAAAAAAGAGGATGCTATTTACTTAACAGCTGCTACTAGGTTTAATCCCATCCATGTAGACAGAACATAAATCTTCAAGTGATCCTTCTTGAGATCCCAGTACTCCTAATTGGTGAAGTTGAAAATGGTGCTAAATTCTAAGCTGACCGTTTACGGATTTGTTATCTAAACCATCCAATACTGGAAAGCTTTTGTATGATTTTTTTGGCTAGCGTTTTCAGTATGTTGAATAATTTAAAAAATCACATTACTATGACAAGGTTATCATATTAATATATGCTCAATGAAACATATTAATGAACATTTACCTTTTTTTTTTAAAAGGTCAAATACATCTTTTCAGACAAAACAGGTACCTTGACGTGCAACGTTATGCATTTTAAGAAGTGTACTATAGCAGGAATATCTTATGGGTGAGTTCTTTTCTTAGGTCATTGCTTGGTTTTATCTACCTTGCTAGCTTTTTTAAAAAAAATAAATAGAGTTGGACATTTCCAATGTCATTAAAATATTTTTGGAGATCTCTTCAGGATCTTTTAAGTTAAAAACAAAAATGTCTCAAAAACAATCAGAAGCCTCTGATGCATAACTATTTCAGGGCCTGCCTTTTATAAGTCAGCTTCATCTTTTTAGCCATGAAGTTCAAATGATCGAACTGGACATTTTACATGGATGTTATTTCATTTAAACTTCAGCAACCTCTATGGTGCTCTTTCCTGGGAGCCGCTGATTGTCAGATTGTTAATTATTAAAAATAAAGATACTAAAGGCTAAAATACTAAAATACTAATACAGATAGTTCTCGACTTACAATAGTTTCTTTAGTAACCGTTCGAAGTTACAACGGCGCTGAAAAAAAGTGACTTCTGACTATTTTTCACACTTATGACCGTTGTAGCATTCCCCATGGTCATGTGATTTATATTTGGATGTTTGACCACTGCTTATTTATGACGGGTTGCAAGTGCCCTGGGGTCACGTGATCACCTTTTGCAACTTTCTGGTGAGCAAAATCAACGGGGAAGCTTGATTCACTTAACAACCGTGTTACTAAGTTAACAACGGCAGCGATTCACTTTAACAAATGCGGCAAGAAAAGTCGCAAGATGGGGCATAACTCACTTAACAAACTTCTCAATTTAGCAATGTAAATTTTGGGCTCAATTGTGGTTGTAAGTCGAGGATGACCTGTACTAAAATTCTTCGGGATACGGAAGTTAAAAGACAGTGCAAAGAATTTGCTCTATTCAAAGTCCCATCTATAAGAACACGTGCACACTTGGGTTTATTGGATTTTCAAAACATATGATAGAAATTGGAACCTAAAATTTCAGTGTCTCAGACTGTGAAGCATGGGATCCTTCTCTGGGCTCCTGCTTCTTCTTCACTTACATCGGGCTGTGCCTTGTCCTCATGTTTAAAACCTCTTCCATCCCCACCTTCCCTTTCTTCGCTGGCTGGGGAATTCTGGGAGTTGAAGTCCACAAGCTTTGAAGTGGCCAAGATTGGACACTCTTGGTCTGGAATTGCCAGAATTACAGGCTTGAGTTACGTAAGGCAGGCTGTGCACTCCAGGCCCCTAATAAAGTAGGATTCCAAATAACATAGATCACTTTTAAAAACCTATAGCTTCAATTACATGAATGGGTCACTAGATCATTTGTGATTTTTTTTTTTTGGCCTTAATTTCTCTCTGATGAGCTTCAAGCCTTTCTTTCTCAGCTTTCTTAGCTATTTCTCTATGTTGTTCTGCCCTTCTTTACATTCCATGCAGCCATTCTCCTGAATCGGATGATTTTGGCTGTACCTCCGACGAGTGGTAAGCACTAATTTTTGCTGCTATTTCCTTTCTGCTCGCAATGATCTATAACTATTATTAACATACTGACACTGAGCATATATAGAGAAAGTGATTTTGAAACGGTACCTTCAAATAAACATTTCATCTGTTGAGAAATGGGATTCGACTCCTCAGTTGAAAAGATAATGCATCCGTTTATTTTTAGACTGATTAAGCTTTACTGAACATTACTTCACTCAAATATAAATAACCTGGTTTTGAAATGTTCACATTAGAATTATTAGAGTATTACAGTACAGTTTTACAGCATTATCAAAAATATCCATATACGTTCATCAAAACTCAATGTCTAAGAAACCATTATTTGTTATCAGAGGCTAACTTTTGATTTTTAATCCATGGGTGAAAGATCTGGTTTTGATGTGATTTGTATGGGTAAATTAACTAATATTCATCTCATTCTATATATTTATCATCATTTTGTTGAACCCAGTTAAATATGTTGTACTACTTAATCAAACTATAAGTATGTGGGTGGATAATTAAACTGTGAGATGCCTTCTTAAATACAAATTAAATACAAATCTTGTGTAACCATTACTTCAAAAAAGATGTAAACAGAATCTACATGATTTATACTTAATGAATCTCTTTTTTTTATCATAAATATATGTAGTAATTATTTCATTTCTTTCATTTTTATTTTTAGCCAGAGTCCACAAGCAAGGGAAGAAAAAACATTTAGCGACTCATCATTACTGGAAAATTTGCAAAACAAACATGTAAGATGCAGAAATATGCTGATACAAAATAAATAATAACTTCAAAACTAACATAAAATAGGAGGAGGACCAGGTATTACGTATATTTGCCAGTTACTTACAAAGTAATAAAGGCAGGATAAAACCCTAATAAAATAAATACAGAATAACAGAGTTGGAAACGACCTTGGAGGTCTTCTAGTCCAACCCCCTGCTTAGGCAGGAAACCCTACACCACTTCAGACAAATGGTTATCAATGTCTTTCCTTACAAACTTCCAGTGTTGGAGCATTTACAACTTCTGGAGGCAACTTGTTCCACTGGTTAATTGTCCTCACTGTTAGGAAGCTTCTCCTTAATTCCAGGTTGCTTCTCTCCTTGATTAGTTTCCATCCGTTGTTTCTTGTCCTGCCTTCAGGCACTTTGGATTCTCTCTTCTTTTTGGCAACTTTTCAGATATTGGAATACTGTTATCATGTCAACCCCTAGTCTTTCTCTTCCTTAAACTAGACATACCCTGTTCTCGCAATCATTCATCGTATAATTCTAGCTTCCAGACTCTTTTATCATCTTTGTTGCTCTTCTCTGCACTCTTTTCTAGAGTCTCAACCTTTTGTTGTTGTTGTTGTTGTTGTTGTTGTTGTATCATGGTGACCAAAACTGAAAAAATCCTGATTATCAGAAGAGTTAACAATATTTATTTCCTCTTAAGGGCTTAACCATCTGTGAGATTTTAAAATGACAAACCTCATAGAAAATAAGGCAGAGACCATGAACAAGTAAAAAGCAGATTTATTATATATAGAGAGAGAACATCTTACAGCTCCAAATACATGGTTTAAATACATTTTCAAGCAATCAGCAAAACAATTAAAACGCCCCCACTTATTGTTTTTTGGACGTTGCATAACATTTTGGCTTTCTCAGCCACATTTGTCTCGATTTAGAATTCCCCCTTGGAGGGGCATTTCCCTCCTAAAAATAACCTTTCAATATGTCCTTAACTAAAACAATTAATTGGAACGGTATCTCCCTTCCTTCTTTCTTTTAATTTAGCTTGGGTCAGCCTGACCCAACTCAGAATGTACTAACTTAAGTTTATGGCGTTATTTCTTCAGAAAAGGCATCATACTTCCCCTTTCTAAGTGCCTTACGCTGCCAAATAGCTTAGAGTTAATTTAAGTCATGAGAAGCATAAATATAGAGTCATTTAGGCTATCTTCTTTACAGGAATAATTCTATTTCTCACATCATCACAGGGTGGAGTTTTGATTTGCATAAAAATAGGTCTGCAATCAAGAAAGGGAATGGAGCATTGCTCACGGTCCTGACTCATAACCTTTTTTTCTATCACTACCCCTTTCCTTCAATAAGCAACTGGTGGTGGTGGTTTTTTTAAACAAAATGCTTATCTTTTTTCTTTGTCTCTTTCGTTTCCCCTACCATTTTGTTTCTGCTAGGTGAATGAATGTTTTTTTTTAAAAAAAACAACAATGTTTTTATTTCTATAGCTATTTTTGCACCTGTTTGTCTGTACATTCAGTTTTTAATTCTAGAAAAAAAGAACAGTTCATTCTGCTGTTTTCTGTTTTTCAGCCAACGGCACCTATAATTTGTGAGTTTTTGACAATGATGGCAATTTGTCACACAGCTGTCCCAGAAAGAGAGGATGACAGAATAGTTTATCAAGCGGCATCTCCAGGTAAGGCTTACGCGGCAGCCGTAATCGCTTTCAACTATGTAAAGTTTGAAGTGCGTTACGTTCAATTATGTACTTAAAGATCTATTCACATCGAACGGATGGATTAGCCTGGAGTTTATTGTAAAGAGAATGCATTGCTAACTGTAGGCTGAACATTACCCTGAGAATAATGTGGGCCTTTAAAAGACATTTTGGCTTACCACACACAAAGTCACGCCTATAATAAGCTTTGTAGGATTTCTTCATGCAATGTAATGTGAAGAGAATGAATTAGTACCGGTTTAGTTGAACAGTGTATGCCCATAATTTATACCACCGATCATCAGAATAACAGACTGCTCTGGACAGAAGATCCTGATCTTCAAAAGTCCATGTGAAAGTCTGTGGTTATACAGTAGTGGCCAAAATAGTGGAAAGCTTTTGGGAAAAGTGTATTTTCTAAAACTAGCTAATAACACCACTTTTTTGGGGCGGAGTAATACCATAAAATTATATATCAATGGAAAGATAATTTAATCAAGAATGTCATGCAATAACTTTTATGAAGGATTTGCTATTAGAATTGCAGTTACAGTATAAAGAAGAAAAGTGGAACATGTAGAAAAACCGAGATATACAAAAATTATCACTGTAGAAAAAACCGAGATATACAAAAATTATCCCCATGTCAGTTAATACTTAGTTGGGTAACCTTTAGCATGAATGACGGCCTTACAACGTCTTCCCATGGAGTGAACCAAGTCTTTTAGTTCTGCAGCTGTTCTCATGTGAAACCAAGATTGAATGATGGCTTCTATTAACTGGGTTTTATTGCTGGGTCGCTTTTGACTAACAAGTTTCTTTAGTCAACTCCATAGATTTTCCATTGGGTTAAGGTCTGGGCTATTCCCAGGCCATTCCAGCAGTGGAAAAGGATTATCTTGAAACTCCAAAAAAAAAAAAAAAACAAGTGGTGTTATTAGCCATCAAACCTCCAAAATACACTTTTCCCAAAAGGTTTCCACAATTTTGGCCACTACTGTATCTATGTTTGCATTCCTTGGAGGTTAGAGATAGGGAAGTAGCCACCACGCTTACCTTTATATGTCTTTGCCACTCCCTTCCCAATTTCCATTCATGGTAATTTCCTCAGCAGAAATTTATTTTACATACACCAGTGGTAGAAAACTTGTGGAAATGGAAGTGGGCAAACAAGCTCCATTAGTGAATCACAGGTAGTCCTTGTTTGCCCCTAGTTTGTTCAGTGATTGTTCGAAGTTACATCAGCACCGAAAAAAGGGACTTATGTCTGTTTTTCACACTTACGACCATTGCAGCATCCCCATGGTCATGTGATCAAAATTCAGACAATTTGGCAACTGACTCACGACGGTCGCAGTATCCCGGGGTCATATGATCACGTTTTACGACCTTCTGGCCAGCAACGTCAATGGGAGAAGCCAAATTCGTTTAACCACCGTGTTACTAACTTAACAACTGCAGCAATTCACTTAACAACAGTGGCAAGAAAGGTCGCAAATGGGGCAAAACTCACTGAACAAATGTTTCACTTAGCAGCATAAATTTTGGGCTCAATTGTGGTCATAAATCGAGGACTACCTGCACATTACCGACTGATTGATTGATCAGTCACTGCTCTGGTTAGTAGTGGGTTTCTCGGCCCAATTTAGAGTGCTGGTTATTACTATAATCTCCTTTATGGGCTGTGACCAGAGACGATCTTATCGAAAATCAAATTCCTGTTGTTATATAAGCTACTTACATGTCGCCTTGTCCCGCAAGATGAGTCGCATATAAATTTAATAAATAGTCTAGCCTATAACCCTGGGATGTCTGGTGGTCTGCCATACAGTGAGATCAACTAAGGTTGGCCAGGTTCTGCCATTTGATAGGATATCATTTAAAAAAAAAAGGCTATATAGGAAAAGGTTGAATCTTTTTTTTAGCTACGCGTTTTAACAACACAAACATAAAAATATATAGGGACATAGCGATGCTTCCAAAGAGTTCTTGTACCGCTTCTCGAAACCAATTAATTGACTGATATTTTTGAAAAGAAAAAAAAAAGCTGCAATAACAATAACAGAAGAAAACGGAAGAAGCGGAATTTCACAATTCTATTTCATTTCCCCCACCCCCACCCCCATCAAATTATATGAACCAAGAAAAGCTATTATATGATAGAAGTCTTGTTTGGAAGCATTCTTGAATTATGAAATCTTTTTACTTGGGAGTGGGGGAAATGTAGCGGAAATTATATATGAATGAAATGAAATTGCATGTGAATAAAATGAAGATGAAAAATCTGATTTCTGATGAACAAAACAGTAAACATATTGTATTTAGTTTATTGTTCTTATCGATTTGCCAGTGAAATAATAGTGGATGTTTTGTTACAGATGAAGGAGCGTTAGTCAGAGCAGCTAAGCAACTCCATTTTGTTTTTACTGGAAGAACGCCAGACTCTGTCATTATAGAATCTGTAAGTAGATTAAATTAGTAAACTGTCAAGGATATTATTTTCTCAATTTAAAAAAAAAAATGAGAAATTAAAAATGCCTTTTAAGTTTTAAAGGGTTTTTTTTTTTTTTCCCCCCCCCCCCCCCCAGCTGGGTCAAGAAGAAAGATACGAATTGCTAAACGTGTTAGAATTTACAAGGTAAATTACATAGGCCTTTTTAATGCCTTTTGTTTTCTCAGCCCCTTAAAAATTTTAACTGTTTTTCAATTCTTCCAGTTCTAGAAAAAGAATGTCTGTAATTGTGCGCACGCCATCCGGTAAATTAAGACTCTACTGCAAAGGAGCTGTAAGTTGTCACTCCGTTTTGTTTTGTTTTGTTTTTTTACAAACGTAAATTTCTGAAACTTGATTGTCAGTGATATTTTCTCAAGGAAGATTGTAAGGAATAAACAGAGGGTGATTTATTTAGTCATGCCACTTTCTTCTACTCTTTTTTTTTTTTCCCTATACCAACATTTTGTAACGGCACCACTCTGTCCATCGGGTGAAAGATGGTAGGTCTCAAACTTCATTTCCCAGAAACCATTGGGATTTACACCCGCTAGTACTTTCTCTACAACCACATATACACCAAGGGGCACCTGACTTCTATCCTATCTTCTAAACCCGGTGTGTAAATAAAAACCCAACCCCTTTTCTCCGGGCCCTTAGATGGATTCAGAATTTTTTTTTTTAATTTATTTATATGCCGCCCTTCTCCGGAGACTCAGGGCAGCTTACAATGCGTTAAGCAATAGCCTTCATACTATTGTATATATTTATACAAAGTCAGCTTATTGCCCCCACAATCTGGGTCCTCATTTCACCTACCTTAGAAAGGATGGAAGGCTGAGTCAATCTTGAGCCTGGTGAGATTTGAACTTGCAGTAATTGCAGGCAGCTGATGTTAATAACAGTGCTTTAGTCTGCTGCGCCACCAGGGCTCCCTTGATAATTGATAATGTGGCAGGCTCTTCAGTCTAATAATTGTCAGGTGGACCCCAAACTTGGAAGAGATCCCATTGCTCTTTTTCCCCCGTCACTTACTGTCTTATTTCTGGGTTTCTATAGTTGTCTTCACCAAATCTGTGCAATTCTTATCCTATGGCTGAGATTAGGTCTTCCATGCTCCTGTTGTTCTGTCTGTTTCCCAGTCCTTTTATTACGTTAATGTCCTGTTTTTCAGCCTCTATTCTTAGAACCATTTTATTATTATTATTTCTATTTTGTGTTCCGCCGTGTCTGTGCACTTCCTATTTATTTTTATCCTCTCCCTCGTGTCTGTCTCACTGCTTCCTTTCTCTTCTGCACTTACACATTCTCGGCTGAAGCCAATGGAGGGAACTCTTCTGCCTCTTGTTGGCTTCTTTTTAAGCTGAGAAAAGTGTGTAGTTGTGTCTTTCTTTTCAGTTTTCAAGTGGAGGGGGAAATGCCTCCTTTCTGATGAAGAGAGGGGAACACCTCTTCAAAGTCTGGTTTTATCCTACTGTGATTTCAGTTTTATGCCTATCTTGTTTGTTTGTTTGTTTGTTTGTTTGTTTAACACAAAGTGTCCAACCTTGGCAACTTTTAGAATTCTGGGAGTTGAAGTCCACAAGTCTTAAAATTCTTGCCAAGGTTGGACACTCCTGGTTTAACACATCCTTGGATGCCAGTTCTTGGGTACAATGCTGAGGAATCCCCCATAATTTAGGAGACGATAACCTGACCACCCTTGGACTGCAAGGCGATCCAACCGGTCAGTCCCAGAGGAGATCAACCCTGACTGCTCTTTAGAAGGCCAGATCCTGAAGAGGAAACTCAGATACTTTGGCCACCTGATGGACTCACTGGAGAAGAGCCTAATGCTGGGAACGATGGAGGGCAAAAGAAGAAGGGGAGGACAGAGAACGAGGTGGCTGGATGGAGTCACTGAAGCAGTCGGCGTGAGCTTAAATGGACTCCAGAAGATGGTAGAGGACAGGAAGGCCTGGAGGAACATTGTCCATGGGGTCGTGATGGGTCGGACGCGACTTCGCAACTAACAATAACAACAACCTGACCACCAGAAGATTCCAGTTTTTTTCTGTTTCTCTGGCCTCATTTTTCTTTTGGATAAGATGGATAAGATGCTCAGGTACCTAACTGCATCTTCTCCGCACACAGACCTCCACACTTGAAACACAATTGCCTTGTGTGTGGTGCACAAATCTACCAATGGAGAAACAGATAGGGGAAGGAGGGAGCACAAGCATTGGCCATCACCCCTGGGGGGTTTTTTCCCCCCGTTCCTTGCGTAAATAAAATCAAATTTTACTCAAAAGAAAAGAAATGGGGGGGGGAATCAAACATAAAAGTCTTAGTTACTTAAAACACAAAAATACTCAAAGTTAAAAGGGAAAGCAACAACTGGTAAATTGTTTTTTTAAAAGAAGACTACACACAACTTAAAACTAATGGAAAGTGTGGGGTGTAATATTCCACTCACACCACCAGATGGTGTTGCTGCATTACATGACATCCTTTTGAGTACCAGCATTCAACTCAACATTTTATAGAACTCTAATTTCTGAAAGAAAAAAGCTGATTTAAAGCCTAAAGCTTCAATTCATGGTCCAAAATACATCATTCAGAATTCTGCGCTGTACCATCATCATCAATACAGAACCAAAAATATGGGAGACAGTTTTATATGTTTAATTATTGGACGTAAATTTTATTTATTTGATACACACTGCCGCATTCGGGTAAACAACTCTTAAAAATAATAGTGATTTAACGCACGTTTATACATTCAGTTCATAGTTCTCAATCCAGTAAAAATTGTAAACAGTTGTTCCATACAGTATTATTTTCAATCAGTTTTTGCATTAATATAAAAATACAAAGGGTTTTTTGTTTTGTTTTTGGTACATAGTGGTGATTTTTTTAAAAAAAACCTTGCCTTACGCTGATTTTTTTATGGAAAATGGGATATGCATTTTTAATTAGATAATAATTAACTAATACTACACATTAAATAGAGTTTTTGTTACAGAGAATCATTTTCTGGCCTAGTTTTGTGTTTACATTTTTTTTAATGCTCAACAAAAAAAAATTGATCTGTTAATTATTACTATAGGACACGGTAATTTATGATCGTCTGGCTGAAAATTCAAGATACAAAGAAATTACCTTGAAACATTTAGAGCTGTTTGCTACAGAAGGTGAGTACAGTATTACTGTTTAATTATAACAGCACAGTAATAAATGAGTCTTAGTAATAATATAAATAGATAATGATTGACGATTACTTTAAAAACTTACTTCTGTTTTTTCAGCTAGTACAGTGCAGATTAGAAGTTCTTTTTCAAGCCCCAATAAACGCTGCCTTTTGTTTATTTTCTTTATATTTGATTAACTCTAATTTGTCAACAAGTGATTGAAAAGCATCACATATAACCTGTGATGTTGCCTCTTTGAAAATGTCAGTTTGAAACTCATTTAGAAAAGAGAAAGAACTTTTATGAAGAAACACCAATCCTTTGGCCAGGTTGAAGTATATGAAAACGTATTTTATTGCACCTGAAACATGGATTTTTACCCTTTTCCTAAGAAAGATGGTAACTTCCTTGGGTGAACAAATTAGTAGCAGCCAGTTGCCTGCAGATCAGCTGGTTCTCATGTCTATGAAGAGAACAGCCTATAGGTCCTAGGTGTCCAACCTTGACAATTTTTGTGGAATTGTAGGTTTGAGGACCCTCTGTTTTGCTGTGGCTGAGATTACAGAAAGTGATTATCATGAGTGGCTGAACATGTATCAAAAAGCTACAACATCTATTCAAAACAGAGCCCTAAAACTTGAAGAGAGTTATGAACTAATTGAAAAAGTAAGTGGTCCGTGTTGCTTAACTTTATGCAATGAATTTTACTGAGATTTGTGTTAATTGTATGTAGATTTTATTATAAATTAATATTGTAGCTTAGCCCTTAATTAAATATGTATTTTTAAAAGGGGGGCTTATGTCATATTTTCAGTCTTCTCGATCGAAAGATCTCTAATAGCTTAAAAGTACTTGACAAGAAGCTTCCAAACATGATTAAAAAAGGAAGTTTGAGAATTTAAATTGTCATTTAAAAGGCACCAACCATCGTTGCAAGCAAGATGGTTGTCTCTCATTGCTCAATATCCAGCAGAGAAGACCATCTTGTATCATTGTCACAAGGAGCAATTGTTTGGAGCTCATTTCAATTTTTCCTTACGAGATTTTATTTTTCTTGGAAGAAAAAAGACTTTCTTAAGAAGGAAAAGATGGAATAGCCACCTGACTATACTACTAGGAATCTTCTGTTAGCAAGTGCCTTAGTTTAAGGTGTCCTAAATCTAAATTATATTTCTTCCTTGCTTTAAAAAGAGGAAGTTAATTCTCTCATGTGTTTTTTCTGAAGAATCTCCAATTACTTGGAGCTACAGCCATAGAAGATAAGCTACAAGACGAAGTGCCTGAAACCATCGAAACACTCATGAAAGCAGATATCAAAATTTGGATTCTTACTGGAGACAAGCAAGAGACAGCTATTAACATTGGTAATACGTTAAATTGAGTTGGTAAACTTACATGTATGTATCTTCTTTTTGTGCCATATCTGTCATCGGATATTGGCGATCCTGTTTTTATCAAGAGCCGCACGAAAAATACTGCTGAGTTTTGTCCAAACCAGTCCCTTTAGATTTTGTATGCATATATTTAATTGAAAAAAATACGTATTTTCTTTGGGAATTATTCAGGATTTCCTTTGATTATGTTTTTCTGATAACTAGAGGAAAGGAAGAATTGACTATATGAATACAATTTTGGGTTAGTGAAGAAATTGGTTATGTCCCGGTATTCACAAACTCCAGCAATCACAGAATGAAAGATTGTAACAACTAATAAATAATAATTAAGAGAAATCAATTATTTATTAAATATATCCATTGGATGTATTATATTAATCATCGGTATTGGATATCATTGCTAAATATTGATTATGATTACAGTTATAAACATATATCACTGAGAATAATACCCACATACATACTGTACTTTAATCAAAAGACTTCTAATTAAGCAACTGTTGACAGCTTCTACCAAGTGATCCTTATGAAGTGCCATAACATTCCCTAGAAAAGTTTTAGCAAGTTTCTAGCTTTTGCCTGAAATATTCTGATAGCAGAATGGCATATTTCTGTTCAATAACTCAAGGTCAAATGGATGTCATATAAAGAATATTGGCATTTTCATTAGCATGAGAAATTTTTGTAAATCCTTTAGAATTTTCCCTAATCCTGCAATTCTGTGACCTACAAATGCGATCTGAACTTCATCTAACTCTAATTAATATGGAAAGAGATTATGGTTAAAGAATACACAAAAAAAGTGCATTGAAGAGGGTTCTTTATACAATCGTATTTATTTATGGTCCCAGAAACAATATATTACTCTTGACTCTTATCTCATTGACTTCAGCTTCTGACTCAACTTCCCCTCTTAAAAGAGAATATCCTGTAGTTTACCATATTTTTTTTTCAAATAAAGATAGTAAATGTTGGCTGAATATGTTCTATAAAAGCAAAACACAGTATGTTATTTTGGGTGTTCTTTGTTTACCTGAAATCAAATAGAATTCTCAACTTTCTAGTATTCTCTTTAAATATATATATTCTCTCAAGTGGCCTTGAATTTCCCACCAAACCTCCATATAGTAATTTAACGCCAGTTATTTTATCCAGGCCACAATATTCTTGCATTTAATGTCTCAGGAATCATGCTTATATCTTTATGTATCTGTAATTACAACTTTTAAAAATCCTAACACAATAGCGTACTTTTTTTTTCTCTCTAATAGGACATTCCTGTAAACTCTTGAAAAAGAACATGGGGCTGATTGTTATAAATGAAGGCTCCCTTGATGTAAGTATAGTCTAAATTTGTATCACAGTGTATGTACTGGGTATAGACTAGTTTAAAAAAATAGATATGGATTAATTATTTATGTTCTGATTAATAGGAAGCATATAACCTCTCGGCATTTTTCTTTTTTGATCTAATATTTTTCTGAAAGTTATGGTTTAGAAAATGTTGATATGAAGCTAGGGTGGGGCTAAATTTTGTCATAAAGGAAAAAAATCACAAAAATCATTCCTGCAGGACATCCTATTTAAAAACGGAGCTTCGTGCAAGCCACCATTTCTTTTTAAAAACAGAAATCTTGCATTTAAGAGGTAAAACTCCCCTCCCAGTTGCACAGATGGACATGCTGACTCTTTCTCATTCTCTCATGCACACACAGACGTGCGCCTGCAGACTTAGAAAATCTCATAACTCTTGAGACTTGCTAATCTCTTAGAGAGTGCGTCCTTCTCCAGTCTCCACTATATGCAGAGAAAGAATACTTTAGCCTAACAGTAAACAAATAGGTTGAAGAACATCACAGAAGATGGACGATAACATGATGTTAGTTAAACAAAGCAGGCTGTACACCTCTTCTGATCTCAAGATATAGAAAACATGCAGTGAAAAAAATATTTTTTAAACCCTAGCCTTTGTTCGGCCCTGTTTTCAGTACATGTTCTATACCTCTGTTTGGTTATTTAAAAAGAAAACTTGGAAGATTTGTAATGATGGGAACTTTCTTGGCTGCAGAAATATTGTTCATCTATATCAACCTACACTTCTTACGAGCTATGAAACTGAAATGATATTAGGTCAGTCTCGTTGCATCAAGAGAGTTTTCCCCGTCGCTCGAAACATGATTGCATTTTACTGGAATGGCTCAATTTGAAGAGAGATCAAGATACATTCTCAACAAATCCTATGATAGGCATTAGAACAGATACTGAAGTTCTTGAGAAGGAAATTAGTGGTTGCCTTGAATTTAGAAGGCAGGAAAGAGGATAACGACAGTTGATCACTAGCAAACAGTACTGGACTGTATGTAATTATGATTGACAGATTTTCCTAATAGAGATAATCCCAAATTGTTTATTCCTAGCACTGATAAAAAAAAGGCTTCAGCTGCAGTAGTCTTGTTTCTTTTTGGAGGAAAATGCAACGTTATGTGTCTTGCAAGTTTGCTTTATTAAAGTTTACCAGGAAAAAAAAAAGAGGTGGATTAACAACTAACCTCATCTAGTTAAATAGATTTAATCCCCTAGCAAAGCCTCTCAATCGGTTTTAAATTATCCACTAAAAGACACAACCGGGTTGCAGAGTTTCATTGACAAAAATAACAGAGTTTATTTCTGAGGAAGCAAATCTAGATAGAATTCTAGCATACGGCTGTATTACATTTATGCATAGTGTATAAAAAGCGATTAAAGGATTCACATTTTCCAACAAATACAGTAAATGACATTGATATAGCCTGAACCCAATTAAATAGGAACCTGGTTGTGCAAGCATGTATCAAGATTCATATAAGAAGGATCACCATTCATATTTGCCAGGTGAAAACCCTTTTTCTTCCCCCAGACATGTTTAATTGTGAGCTAAGCCAGCTTTTATTTTGTGGAAGTTCTATTTTTCCTGTTTTTAATCAGTTCTGATTTCAATCCCTGCTGCTGTTGAATTTTGTACCCTTTTTTTCTTTTTAGAGTAATTTTAATTGTGTTTTTAACTCCCTTGATAATTATGTTAATAAAGTTGCACAGAAGAAAATAAACATCTTAATGGGAGAAGAACCCTAGGAACAACACACAGAGGCAATGCGTATGCTTATTGTTGTGGTATTTTACAGGCAACAAGAGAGACCTTAACCCATCACTGCAGCACCCTGGGTGAGGCATTGAGGAAGGAAAATGATTTTGCACTAATCATTGACGGCAAAACATTAAAATACGCTTTGACGTTTGGTGTCAGGCAGTATTTCTTGGATTTGGCTCTGTCCTGCAAAGCTGTCATTTGTTGCAGGTAAATCTTTCTCTCTTTTTTTTTTTTTCTTTGCTCATACAATTTTGGGCAGCATTCCTCCAAACTATTTTTGGTTCCAGTTGAATTTAAAGTAAAGCTGTCAATGCTTATGAGAACCACGTAATGTCTATTTATTTATTTAGGGAATTTATATTGCCGCCTATTTGCACGTGGCGACTCAAGGCGGCTTACAGAATATAAAACCTCATATAAAAACAATAAAACTAAGAAAAGAAGAGTCATATAATAAATTATAATAATAAAATAACCCCCCGCCCCGGCAATAGCGCCTCACATGAGCCATTTAATGGACTCCATCCCGCTCTGGGTTCCCCAGGCCTTCTGGCAGAACCAGGTCTTCAGCGCCTTCCGGAAGAGTGCTAGAGTGGGGGCCATTCTAATCTCTGGGGGAATGATGTTCCAGAGAGAGGGGGCCACCACAGAGAAGGTCCTTCTTCTGGGTCCCACCAGGTATGTCTCCCTAGGGGGCAGGATCCACAACATTCCCTACCTCCCAGCTCTGATGGGTCGGGTAGACGTGACCGGCAAGACACGGTCCCTCAGATAACCTGGTCCCAAGCCACGAAGGGCTTTAAAGGTGACAACCAGCTATGCTAGTGTTAGGCTGCTATCTCTAAAACAAAAACTTTTACTTTACTTTTACTTTTATTAGACTTCTATACCGCCCTTCTCCCGAAGGACTCAGGGCGGTGTACAGCCATATTAAAACACATAAAATTTACAAAATTTAAAAACCATTAAAATGAAATATACAAAAATTTGGCCCACAAATTAAAAAACTTACAAAAAGTATTTTAATTAGTATTAGCATTGATTTTTGTTCAGTATGTACATAGCTGGCATAGAGCCACAGTCCTTCACCTTCTCCATCTGGATTGAGACCCTTATACAGGTGGTCCTTGACCTACTAACTTTTGTTTAGTGACAATTTGAAATTACAACAGTAATCTGTTTCCTGATGACCATTATTTAAGTTTAATAACAATATTGTTTTTTCCTTTTTTTTTTTTTCTAGAGTTTCGCCTCTGCAGAAATCTGATATTGTAGAAATGGTTAAAAAACAGGTAAAGGTAGTGACCTTGGCCATTGGGGATGGAGCGAATGACGTCAGCATGATACAAACCGCACACGTAGGCGTAGGCATTAGTGGAAACGAAGGCCTCCAAGCCGCTAATTCTTCAGATTATTCAATAGCTCAGGTAGGATCTTCCACTGGTTTAGAGTATTAAATCATTGTCAATATGGGATTGTAAGCATTAAAGGCATGTCTTTTTTTCTTTGTTTGTAGTTCAAGTACTTGAAGAACTTACTTCTGGTCCATGGTGCCTGGAATTACAGTAGAGTTGCTAAATGCATTTTGTATTGCTTCTACAAGAATATTGTCCTTTATATTATTGAGGTAAGAATGGGCTTACATCGGGGGAGGGGAACACACTTCTCAATTTCCCCCCCCCCCCCAAATCTTAACTGAATGGTATGGTTTTATTCATTTCAAACATTCCTTCCTATTTTGATTTATGAAACACAATGCAAAGAGAAATTGGCCTCCTTTAGGTTTGGTGGCTGCATGATATGCATTAATTTGAATTAAAGCAAAGCCAGGGAATAAAATATAATCATAAAGATGTTTTATTTGTTATTTCAGCAAGAATTATTAAGAAACATGCATCCTAAAATATTTAATCTCTTAAAACCTCTTTATGTTACTGAATTTTAGGATGTATGCTTCTCATTTGTTTCAATGACTTAAAACAAATTGCCATTATACGTTGATAAATTACATCCAGTCCTATTTTCTGGATTGCTGAGAGATGTACATTCTTAAATTTTGTTCAGCAACTTTTGAATTCCCCTAATTCTAGGACCAAGAATTACGACATCCTGAAGATAACAAATATTAACTGAAAATATGAAATCAACATATTTTCAGTCATCCCTGGAATCTTCTTTTTCAGTAGCTACCTCTCCATTTCTAGAAATTTCTCCCTTTTATGATTTTTATCTCACTTCTAATATCACAGTTAAGGATACGTTATTAGCTAAATCACAGTTAAGGATACGTTATTGGCTAAAACATTTTGCAGTGGCATATATTTAGCCATCTTTCCCTGAAAGCTTTTACTAGGAAACACATTGCTTAAATACATTGGTATTTTTTGCCTAAATACATCGGTATTTTTTGCCTAAATACATCGGTATTTTTTGTGGCTCCAGAGTTAACAAAACTGCCCGCAAAATTTCTTTGCTTGGATTTTATGTTCTGTTTTGCCAACTAAAATTAATCAGTGGGTGACTGAAACGTTAGACAATCTTAGTTTAATTAAGCAACAGAACATTAGTAGCTTAGTAACTATTATTGTCTCATCTGAGAATTCTAACTTTTTAGCGCATTTTGCTTCTGAGATGGAAGACGTTGAAAGTCCCTGAAAGGTTTCGAACGTATCTCGAAATGATCTGCCAATCACTTAACCTACATTCAACTTTTGCAGCTCATGCAGCGGTTAATAGCTTATGTCAACACTGAATGAATAAATGAATGGACAGAATATGCATGTCTGTAGCAAGGACAACTGCCTGTCCTGAACCTCATTTCATTGTTCAAGCGTGAGAGCAAGTAACTGACTGAGGATCTTAGACTCCCTGTTACAATGCCTGAAGCCTAGGAAAATCTGTGTGGCTGTTTTTTTTTCTGCCCCAACTCCCTCTTTTTTCCCTCTTGGAATTTTGTAAAACATCTTGACCAATATTTAGCTCAAATAAGTGGTGTCTAGCTACACTTTATATTTCCATTAAATTGCAAAATTCTACTACAAATCAAAGCTAGAGTAAAAAATTTAAATTGCCTGAAATGCTGAACATATAATAATTGCTTATATTTCAGGATTCGTGTACACATAGCATATATTTCGTGTTTTGCTTAAATGTTTTATATCTGGTGAGGTATGTTTATCGACTATGAGTTCTTTTGTTAAGTCCCTGATAAAAAGTTAAGTGAGTAGACGTGTTGTTTTTTTAGTGTTTTGCTGCTGTGGCTAACATTAACAGCCATAATGTATAAATCTAGCAGCTGGGACAGGTTTGTATGCATTTGATTAAAATAAAATCAATGCTTCCTGATATCTATTAAATTCTAACAATTTTCTTTATGTTAATTACTACATGAGAGAGGTTGCTTTCAGGCTTTCCTCTCCTTTCCTTCTAATTATTAGATATCAGTTAATGATCTGTTTAGAATTCAGCTGTTGAAACCAAACTCTATAATTTATATTTCAAATGTCAGCTCAGTATTATTTTGTTGTGTCTACAGAATCCCTGTTAACGCTTTTTAAAAAATCCAGAAAATACAGCCTTGTAAAAACATTGCCTTATGCACTGTAATGTTTCATAGTTATCAAAACATTAATCATAGGCAGCTATTTAATTTACATAGAAATTTTGCAAATATTCAGATAGTTGATGAGTATTTTCAGCATTCTATTGTGTACCTTCAGGTATGAAAAACCTGTAACAATCTCAATGAGAAATGCATTAAATTCATGTAATATTGTTTTGGGATTCTTTTTAGCAATTAGTAATTAGAATTAATCTGTTGATTGAACATCTATAAGGATGGGAATGTACTCTTAAGAAACAAAGGAATTAGGTGCTCTGTTACCTAATAAAAGTTAAATAGATATTGTCTTCATTATTAACTTTTCTGTGACTGAAAGTTTATGTTATTGCTGTTTTGAACATATTTGGTTAGCAAATATTAGTGATTCCAATCCTTCAAGTTGGAAGAACAGTTGGGAAAAAATGTTCATTATAAATGATTTAATCAAGAAGATATAATTCAAATTATATAAAATATTCAGGTGGAATCATGCCCAGAGATAATGTGGAACCAAAATAATCTATGTAAAACATTGTCTGAGAGACAGTTATCATGAAGGGTGTGACCTTAATCAGAATTGATTGAAAGCAATTTTTTAAAAAAATACAGACTGAAGACTCTTCACATGTTTATTATCTTTTCTGCCATTAAAATTTTCCCCATTTTTAAAAGATTATTGATTCAAGAAAAGATGCCCTTGAATCCATAAAACTGATATTATGTTTAAAACTCTCTTCTTCAGATATGGTTTGCATTTGTTAATGGATTTTCTGGACAGATACTGTTTGAAAGATGGTGCATAGGACTTTATAATGTGGTAAGTTTTTATAATTAGTTTCTTTGACAATGCTAATAGTTAAAATATATTTGAATGTTCATTACAAGTTTTTGTTATTATATTTGGTTTGTGCATTAGATGTTTACGGCTATGCCTCCATTGACGCTTGGAATATTTGAGAGATCCTGCCACAAAGTAAATATGCTAAAATACCCTGAATTATACAAGACATCCCAAAACGCTCTGGATTTCAATTCAAAGGTAGTTGGAAATAATTTGTAATTATTGCATGTACACCTGTTTGATTCTATTTTACGACAACGTGCTTAAAATCATTTACATATAAGTTTGATGATGATGGTCCCCTATATCTCAGTAAGCTTCCAGTAACAATAAAATCCAGTCCTGTCTATCTTCTGTTTTTTTTTTTTTTTTTTTGAGCTAGCTAGTTTTCCAGAGAAAAGCTGTTCATGAATATGCATAAAATTTTCAGAGGAGGATTTAATGCGGTAAAAAAGTAGCGGAAAGGACCTTCAACAAACAAATAAATCATTCATGTGCATGGAAGAGTTTCTTGTTTATGCTTGTTGGTTGAGACTCTTTTGGCGCTCACGCCAACAGTGAAATTTTCATATTACGAGTAAATAAATAATAATAAATAACGTTCAAATTATTTATCCTGGTTCTTTAAAAACTTTTTAAAAGCCAGTATGGATAATAGATGCACGATTTCCAAATACTGATGTACTAGTTAAGAGTCTTTTGGATAACTATAATCTGAATCTGAGAGTGTATATTTTGCCAATTAAATTAAGTATGATTGATTGTATCATAATACACTCAACAAAGTGAAATCTCAGGTGCTGGTGCTTTAGCTGATGTTGGCCTTTGTTCACATTGTTATTATATTGTTTTTCTGTACATAATTCTCTTCATTAGGTATAAGTAAACCTAAAACAAATACATATAGAAAGAACACTTAAATATGAACTAGTGTTGGTAATTTTATTAACACCAATTTAATTAACATCAAATTCATTAACAGAATAATTATACAGGTCATGTTTTAAATTAATGTGGCTTATGTACCGCTTATTTATAGCACTTTAAAACTAATTAGCTCAGATTTTATGAGTTTCTTAAATGCTTCCTACATTTTTTTCCTTTATATTCCTCTTTTGTTAAACAAATTACAGTATAAATAATTGTGTAGGCCTGATAGATCAAAAAGAATTTCAACAATTTACTAACATAGGCTTTCTACCACAATTTTCACATTATCTTTTGTGAATACATATAATTATTTTTGAAAAAGTTCAGTGAATGCAGATGAAGTTATTCTATTTGTAGTGTCCTGTTTAGTTTTGTTTTGCACAATTATGAATGTGGTCAAATCCCATGGACCACTCAGTTGTAAATGTTTTAATTATATTTTTTATTTTAGAAACTGATCTAACTTTTTATTGTTTTTAATTCTTAACAGGTTTTACAATTTCAAATGGTCTGTAAAGACAGATATTTTTGGTTTGATATGTGGAAGATTTAGAATTTTCATTGCCCTAAACGATGGTGCACAGATTCATTGCAATCAAAAGGGTCAGAGTTCAGGGATCATGAAGAGAGGTTAAAGGATTAACGTGGGACAATGAGTATTCACCATAAAAATGAAAAAGCGGTCTTAATTTTCTTGCCCCCCATCTCAGCTTTTTCTCAAATAATATTCTTTTGTCAATGACACAGCAAGGAGAGACAAAGGTTAATGAGTAACACAAAAGTTCAAATATGCAAAGTATTGTGGCATAAATTGGATTGTACAACCTTAGCCAGTTAGATAATATTACAAAGATGTTACAGGCAGGGTAGAAAATTTTTTGAGGCAGAGAACATAATTCTGTTGTTTGAACAATTTCAAGCGATTAATACGTTTCTCTTTAGCACAATAAAGATTGTGATTTGTAAAAGCATGTCAGGCGTTACTACAAAACTTTCCTTTTATAGAAATAGTGAAAGGGGTTTCTTGACTTGACTCTGTCCATACATAAATACATAAAAACACATAGACTTTTTGTACATGTTTGATATAACTGTCTTATAATCTTTATTTGTAACATGTTAATCAGGAAAATGGTATAAATAAAAAATGCTTCATGTGCGTAATTAAACTGCATATATATGTGTGTGTGTGTGTGTGTGTGTGTGTGTGTGTTTTTATATATTATGTATTTAATATATGTGTATAAAAAGTTAAAATTTATAGAGTTACTTTTACCACAATGACGGTCATTAATGTTTGTTTTCGCTTAGGTTTTCTGGATCCATTGTTTAAATGGCCTCTTTCATTCAGTAATTCTGTTTTGGTTTCCGCTAAAAGCTATCCAGTATGGTAAGTAAATATTTAAAAAATAAAAAAGACTGCATTCACAGTAGACACGTACGTATTTATTTGTTTGTTTAACAAACTCATACAGCCACTCATTAGCCAGACGGAATAATCCAAACAATCATTCAGAATTATAATCTGAATATAATCTGGGAAGATTATATTTCCAAAAGCTGATGAAGGAAAATCAAATATGAAATTGAATCCATAAATGTTCAGCTGGTGGTTGCAGATGTGCATACGATGCTCTCCTTCCTTGCTTGAAATGGCTATCCTGCAGCCTTGGGAGGAAAACTGAAGGTAGATATTTATTTTTAGCCCGTCCCTGACCTACTTCAGCCCCAGAAAATTGCAACACATGTTTTTGCCCAGATGCAAATGCATAGAACTATTAACGATTGGCGAGCAACCTCTGTATTCCTGCACATAATCTCACAATATGCGGAAATATACTCAATACATTTATTCCTAAACTAATACGATGTCACCCTTTATTAGAAGCAGGGCTGCTAAAATGGAAATCAGGCAGTCTTCAACTTACGGCAGTTCATTTAGTGACCGTTCAAAGTTACAACGGCACTGGGGGAAAAAGTGGCTTATGACCGTTTTTCACACGACGATCACAGCATTCCCATGGTCACGTGGTCAAAATTCAGATGTTTGGCAACTGGCTCGTATTTAGGATGGTCGCAGTGTCCCGGGGTCACTTTCTGACAAACAAAGTCAACGGGGAAGCCAGATTCACTTAGCAACCGTGTTACTAACTTAACTGCAGTGATTCACTTAACAACGGTGGCAAGAAAGGTCGTAAAATGGGGCAAAACTCACTTAACAAATGTCTCACTTAGCCAAATAAATGTTGGACTCAATTGTAGTCATAAATTGAGGACTACCAGTAGACATCTGCTCTTTCTCCCTAACTATTACTTTAGTTAACACCTGATTAAAGAATTTTTGATTACCAGTTTTCAATCTCTTTGTAAATTACTTGGGCTGCAGCTTTAATGAATAGGTACCACTTGAAGAAACATGCCGGCTGGGGAATTCTGGAGTTTGAAAGCCACCCATCCTAAAGTTGCCAAACTAAAGTTGAGAAAGCTTGGAATTTTTTTTTCCTCTTAACTCTAGATTTCCTTCTTCGGTTATTTGCCCTATTATACAAACGTGCAGTATACATAGAATGTGGTTTCTTGCATATAAATATAGCTGATGGTTTATTCATTTGTAGTAGCTGCCCATTTTTTTTTCTTAAAGTACCAGTCTTGAGATGTTTATAGCAGAGGTGGGTTTCAGCAGGTTCTGATCAGTTCTGGAGAACCGGTAGCGGAAATTTTGAATTGTTCAGAGAACCAGTAAATACCACCTCTGACTGGCCCCGCCCCCATCTATTCTATGCCTCCCAAGTCCCAGCTGATCGGAAGGAAATGGGGATTCTGCAGTAACCTTCCCCTGGAGTGTGGTGGGAATGGAGATTTTTAAAGCTGTATCTTTGTAAATCTGAATAAACTAACAAACAAAAAATTTGGCCAGTAATTAAAAGTGTCGTGCATTGCTGCCCTGCCATGCCCACCAAGCCACGCCCACCAAGCCACACCCACAGAACCAATAGTAAAAATTTTTGAAACCCATCACTGGTTTGTAGGTAAGAGTTGCTTGGCGAGTTGGCAGCCATATGAATCTAACGAAAGCAAATAAATTGCGTGCACAATCTCTTAGTTAACGTTGGCAATGTTATTCTTTTATAGATACTGTGTTTGCCAGTGGTAGAACTTCAGACTACTTGCTCTTGGGAAATGCCGTATATACAGTAAGTTCTACTCACGCTAATCCAGCTCGGATCTTAAACCGAAAACAGCAGTTGACCTCACTGAGTCCTACTTAAGCAGCTTAAGAGCCCTGGTGGCGCAGTGGTTAGAATATGCAGCATTGCAGGCTAACTGCCCACTGTCAGGAGTTTGATTCTCAAGGTTGACTCAGCCTTCCATCCTTTTGCATGGACTAGGTAGTGTGCAAAACCGTCCCGTGGTTACTGCTGTAAGCCACTATGAAGCGGTATACAAGTCTAGGTGCTATTGCTGTTGCTAGCTACCATGAAAGGCCAAATGACTTGGTGTCATTTTGTATATAACGGCCGTCCTCTGTTAATCATCTACTTTCAGTCCAGTGTTTGTTGTAATTGTTATTTTCTTTTTCCATAAATGTCTTCATATAATCAAAACCTCTGGGTGTTCTGTCCCAGATGACATAGGGGCATTCATTCGTGTGTTTTCTGTGTTTTACTCGGGCATCATTTGCAAGCGTGCACACACAAAGATGCTCACTCACTCACTCGTAAACTGCAGAGTATAAGTAACTTGTTTGCACTCCATCTGTATCTGAAGGAAAATGCAGAAGCAAGATAACGATTTCTTAAATTGCGTGTTATACAGATGTTAGAATGTTAAACATTTCTTCGATTTTGAAATCGCGTATTTCAATCTGAGTTCAGTTTTATCCGGTTAGGAAAAGTAATGTCTCTCCTCTTTTTTTCTTTTTTTTTAGTTTGTGGTCATAACTGTGTGCTTAAAAGCTGGATTGGAGACTTCATATTGGACTTTGGTAAGATGTCTTTAAAATATTATAACACAATAAATGATAGCAGCTCATTTCTATTGAGGCAATGCACGACACTTTTAATTAATGGTGGAATTTTTTGTTTGTTTATTTAGATTTACAAAGATACAGCTTTAAAAATATTCATTTACTAACTGAGTTTCTTTCTCTTTTTTTCCAGTTTAGTCATATAGCTATATGGGGCAGCATTGTCCTCTGGATAGTATTTTTTGGCATCTACTCTTCTTTATGGCCAGTAATTCCTATGGCACCAGACATGTCAGGGGAGGTAATATTTCTTTTCATTAACATAAAATTTTGAAAATATGTGTTACAATTTTTCTTTCAAGCAGGAGATGATTTAAAACTTAGTAATCTTTTCAACAGTTTAGGAATTCTCCTGGACATGGTAGTTTTTAGCTAGCGTTAAAAAAAATGTTTCAGAAAAGCATTTAAGCAGAAACCTGAAGATTCACCTCCAGGGAACGATGATAAAAATATTTTAGAAAGTTCTAATAAGAAAACGGTTAAAAAAACAACAACAAGAAGCTAGTAACAGTAAGGATAGCTGGCCAAAAAAGGGTGAAAAATATAGGTAAAAATGTGTTTGTCAGAAATATGTATTTGTGGTTTGATGCAAATTCTAATATAAAACAGAATATACATTTAGCAGGGAGTCTATTTTTGAATTCTAATGGCAGAAGGGGACGGGGAACTAAAGGATCTTTTGATGTGGGTGAAAGAGGAGAGTGCAAAAGTTGGCTTGAAACTCAACATGAGGGGGGGAAAAACTTGGCTCTTGGGAAAGCACCTTTGGGACATTTTGGTTGATCAGTGTACAAAAATCAAAGTAATTGATAATGGTAAAAGAATAAAAAATAGGTCATTCCTCAAATCATCTCAGTAGAATCCATCTTCCAGCTAATTTAAAATTGTGGCTCACAATCAAAAATTAAAAATCCGCGATGCAAGAAAAGGAAAAGTCCAATTGCACAGATAGGTGCCTATCTAAAACAGGATCATTTTCATGAGTTTATGAAACCCAGTTATATGGAGGCTAAAAGCACCTCGTGGCATAAGCTGTTCCTTTAAGGTCAGGATTGCCATTGAAGTTTTGGTTCCAGGGTCCCATCCCCTTGACTTCTGATTGGGTAGAGATACTAAGAGAGTATCTCTAACTGGGAGATGGTAAATTCTAGTCCCACCTTAAGCATGAAAGCCAGCTGGGTGACTTTGGGCCAATCACTAGGAGATGGTGAATTCTAGTCCTGCCTTAGCCATGGGTGACCTTGTGCCAGTCACTCTGTCTCAGCCCAACCAACCTCACAGGGTTGTTGTGGGAGAAAACAGGAGGAAGAAGTATGACCCCTGCTCGTTCTCCTGAGTGTCTTTTAATGTCACGAAGGCAGGATAAAAAAATCTTAAGACATAAACAAGAGACCAAGTTTGGTGAAAGGGTCAAAGCCACTGAGCCAAATGCTTCCTGCACGTTTCTGAAAATCGCTTTTTAATTGATAATAAATTTAAGAGGGACCCTTTCGCCCGTTAACATCCAGCAGGTTCTAACGACGTTCGACTCAACTCAGGCCGACCCTCTGGCAATTTGTATTTCTCCGTTATGTTTTGCGGGGGGAGTCCCATGCCAACATTTCAGCAAGGTTGCGTTTGATTTCCCAAGGCCGAAAGGGGCCAGGGCCAGAAGACTTGGCAGCGGGCGGCCGATGAATTTGTAAATCGCGAAAAGGCAGACGGAGTCCAACCCCAGAACAGGCTGTCCCTGTTAGCGGCCATTGTCTGCCCTGGATCCGTTTGCTATATTCTCAGCTGACCCGTCTACGGGCAGAGAGATGTGAAAAGTTAGAGACAAAATGGGTTCTGAGCTGAGCCCAGAGGGAGCTTTTCTTCCCCCCCCCCCCCCCCAGCCCCAAACAGAAAGGAAGGAAATACCTCCGTGGGATTGTGTGTTTCTCCCTCTTCACCCACACACATACAAAGAAGCTTTCTGTCTTTAATGTGAATGTCAGCTTTAAATCTTTTAGTTTTGGATTAACTCTGCAAAAGGCGGGGGGGGGGGGGAACAAAATCTGACAGGCTTTCAAATATGATGCAGAAAAACGTTTGGTGGTGGGTTTTGGTTTTTTTTTCCCTTCCTTCAATTCAGGTTGCTCATTTGTGAAGCCAAAGGGCTGGATTGAGTGAATGTGGGCGCCCGTTGTTCCTTCGTCCATCGTTAGCATCACAATGCTCAGAATTAAACATCCTGGGACCTACATTATCAATTCTGCTGTTTCACCAAGCAACTTTTAATACAAGGGGGCTTAGACAAGGGGGATGGTTCTTTGGTGTTTCCCTAACTTTAAAAAGTCATTAAGAACCATTTAAAAAAAAGAAAGAAAAGAAAGAAAGAAAGGAACTCTATTTAAATCCCCCGTCCCCTGGCTATTTTTTGCATTTATGTTTAATTCAGAAATCAGTCGTATTTATCATTTTCTCTTGGCTTGCTTTCCCCCACCACCCCATTAGAAGCTACTCGGCCTTTCTTCTTCAGCACTTTTGCAACACACTTAGAAAAGTAATCGTCCTCTTTTCTTTCACCTGTTATGGATCTAATTCTATGAGCATCCTTAGTTTCTCATTAATAATACTCTGATTAAATCACAGGGCATAGTTTCCACTCCACCTGTAAAGTCACTGCATCGTCACTTTCTCTCTCTCTCTCTCTCTCTCTCTCTCTCTTTTTTTTTTTTTTTTTAAATGCAATTTACATCTGGGCCAAATAATTTACCATTTTGTGATTAATGAAGGGCAAAGGCGCTAACTGCATTCTCCAAGCGCAAACTGTATCACTGCTACAGGAGAGGGGCCCCTGATTTTACTCGCCTGCCCCATCGCCTCCTGCTCCTTGAGCCTTAGGAAAAAGGGTCCCTTGTCTGTCTGTCTGTCGAGTGATTTTGGGGGGCCCCCAGACTGCTGCTCCAGGAGATTAGCAGGCCTCCCACTTATTCAGCAGAAGAGTTTAAAAGCTCCTGCAATGGAAGTTTCCTGTTTGTCATTTGATGAAGTGAGACCCATCTGTTCCCATGATTTTGAACAGATACAATGCCAAAAACTCATTCCCAACATGCATTTATTTTGAGTGTTGTTAGTGTGTACTTTGTAGCATACTATCACATCTCGGAACCTGAAATTTGCATTGTCATATGTACACCTGGAGCTAATAAGAAGTGCAAGTGCATGTAATGAGCCCTCGGCTTTTAAATTACTCAAAATACCTTGAAAATTTCACTGATAAACTTCTGCTTTTAGTGAAGGGCTTAATTGTATTTTCAAATATTATAGTGCTTTCAGGTAATCTATCTACTTCTCTGGAAAGTGAATAAAGGATTATGAGCTGGTAAATAAAAAAAAATCTCAGTTTACCAGCAACTGTTTTACAGATTTTATTCGGCATATTTTATCCTACTGCACAACATTTTTCAAAGCAGTGGTATCCAACAATAAAACGGTGTAATGATTACAAGGTAACCAAAATCATTTTTAAAAAAACATTAAAAATAACCCTAGAACAAAGATTAAAATTTCCCCCAACCCCCACTCCCAAAAAAAGCATTTAATTATTATTTTAGTTTCTAAAACAACCCACTGGCCATTGATTCTGGGTGGCTTAACAAACTATTAAAAATGGCAATCCTGAAAAGAAAAAAAAATTCTGACGATGAAACAATACATTGCACTAGATGCCCACAGAGATTTTCTATTGAATTTTAAAGGCCAGTAAGCATGTACATTTTTTCAGGAGAAAAAAATGCCTCTTTTAGCTAAAACCTATACAAAACCTCCACTTCTGGGACAATCAACGCCTTACGGTTTTCCTCTCCAGGCAATGAAACACCCCACCAGTCACAAACAGACTCTCCTGCAGCTAGGAAGAGTTACTTCGCTTCTGAATCTCTGGAGAAAATTTTTTAAAAAATAGATTTTTATGGCTGGGAGCTCATTTTTTAATGTGGGATCCTTGCTGCATTCTGAGCTTGGTGGCTTCCTTGCAGACATTTCATTAACCGACGAGGTAACATCTTCAGGGCTAGAGGAGAAAAGGGGTTTGCTGAGTGGAGGAGGAGGAAGACTGTGGGGTCCTTGGTGCTCTCTGAGCTTGGTGGTTTTCTTGCTGATGTTTCATTACCCAACTAGGTAACACCATCAGTGGTAGAAGGGATGAGATGGACTCTCTCTTTGTGTGTGTGTGTGTGTACACAAATACATACATTCACACATACACCACTTCCATCTAGCACAGATGATACTACCTAAGTGGCTTATGCAAAAAAACAACCGAGTTTAGAAAGCACCAAGGACCCCATGGTTGTCCTCCTGCTCCTCTTCCTCTCCACAAACTCTTAACCCTTTCGAGCACTGATGATGTTCCCTAGTTGGGTAATGAAATGTCTGGAAGTAAAACAACCAAGTTCAGAAAGGACCAAGGACCTCCCCACAGTTCAACGCTCAGCTATAAATATTCTCTTCTGTGGGTACTAATTTTTTTCTACATAGGTGATTTATGATTGAGCTTTCCGCAGAGATTTTATTTACCATCATTGCAAATGTTTCATTGTATAGGTTGTTGTTTTTTTAATCTATATAGGCCGTGATGTTGTTCAGCTCCGGAATCTTCTGGATGGGCTTATTTATTATTCCAGTGACAGCACTGATATTTGATGTAGTATATAAAGTGTAAGTATGATATAATTAATATATAGTCTACCAAATAATTAATCTGTCCATTTGTTAATTACCTAAAATTACAGTGCAGGCTTCACAGCTACTCAGGACAAAATCCCATTAGTTCAACAGGATGTATTCCTAAGTAAGTGCATTTAATGATGCAGTATAATTATTGGCATATCTTCCTAATTAAATACAAGCTCGATTAGATTTACACATGTATAGAGAATTGACTCCTTAGTCTACTAAATTATGACCTGCTTTTGCAGATTGTTCTTTTAGTTGAGATTACTCCTCAGAGGAGAACAACATATATACTGTATATCACAGTTTTATTATATGAAAGTATAAAATATTAAAATCAAATATACTGTATGGATACAATGCTTCTTTGGAAAATATTACTCCCTGGTTCCCTAATGGTTAATCTCAAAAATGAAAGAATAATCTGAGTTCTCTGTGGGCTCCACTATAGTATAATTTATATTCTTTTTTAGATAATGTTATTGTGGGACTGAATTTAACGTTACTGGGTTACATTTAATTTTATACTGATATTTGCAGACAGATAAAAAGATTTAGAATTTTAAAACGAATTAACTGAGATATATAAATCATTCTTTTAGAGTGAAGAGGGCAGCATTTAAGACCTTAGTAGATGAAGTTCAGGAGTTGGAAGCAAAATCACAAGATCCGGGAGCTGTTCTGCACGGAAAAAGGTAGAATATGATTATCTGTAATTTCCCCAACCCTTGAATATTAGCATTCTATTTATGTGTTTGGCCTGAGTTGACCTCATCGCTTGGAGTCTGAAATCCACGTCGTAAAGGTTCTTGGATTAATTTTGCTCATAAAATGAACCAAATATTGCCTTAGTTAAGCATTCTCTTCCAATTAATTCAATATCCACTTTAACTAATGATGCAACTAGTTCAGCGTGCTGAGAGCAGCTTGGATTAGCTTGCAGCCTGTCCCTATTGCATCTAGTCAGTTAAGGGAGCTTATTTCTACTAATAGGTAATTATGATATGTATATTTCAGTGGCCCTGGAAGGGAAGTAGTTGAATTCCTAATCAGAAGAGAAGGAGCTGTTGGAAACAAGGGGCTTCAAATGGCTGCACACAAGGATGCATTTGAATATACCTGAGAGTAGCCCTTTACCTTGCGAATTTAATTTTTTTGTAAAAAAAAAAAAAAAATCAACTCTTTCCCTTGCAGTATTATTTCTTCCCTACCATTATTTCCATGTAGTGTTAATTCTCCCTTTTCTCTTGGCTTCCTCTCCCAGAGTAGTTACAGTAACAACAGTGTAGTTACAGAGTAACTAGGATATAATATATTATAATAGTAATATAGTTACAGAGTAACTATAATATCTAAGTAGCTACGGAGCACTTAACAGTAATTATTTCATAAACATACAATTCAAATTGATGTTACTGCTGTGATAGTTGATAATTAAATACCATTTATCATTTTAATATCTTTAACTCCCCTCGTAACCCTTTGCAAGATTACGGTAGACTCACTACGAACACAATATAGGTATAATAAAATACCTTGCAGCAGTTAAGGGGTTTCACCTGTGTTTTCCAAACCTGTGTTTATTTTCATTCTTTACAACTTTACAACTCCCCCAATCATGTAATTTGTTTCATTTCTATATTTTGATTGCTTAAGATTAAGTCCAGGGGTTTCCAAGAGACTTGTTCACTCAGTGAAGTTTGACTTCCCTTTCTCCATTTTGCAGTTGCTTGCGGCCTGCTCTCTGCCCCCATCCCCAAGCTTCACCCAGGGAATTCAGGGATCCATCCCTGAAAATTTGACAATAACATGAAGTTGTTGCAAATGATGTGAAGGGAATGCATTGGCACCAAAGATCCAAAATTACTTCTCTCCCTAGTTTTTTCCCGGATGCCCTCCATGACAGCAATCTGACCATCATTAGTTGCAGGCCTTGCTGATTAAGTCCTTACGTTCAAATGTTTAAGATAATATTAAAAAGCTCTGATTTATTCGTTAAATCGTCAACCAGAAACGTATTTACATCCTACTGTAAAACATACTAAAAGTTTGCTTGGTGCCTTAAATTTTGAGGCTAAAACTACAACACTGATTTAAAGCATAAAGTAAACAAGAATAATAATCATTTTTCCAGTTACAATACTTATGAAGAGCCTGATCATTGTCAAATATAGAACTAGTAACAGAAATCTACTGGCTTTAATAATAGGAGCTGAAAAAACTTTTCTTGAAGTAGCGTTGCCAATAAATAAATCCATTTTCAGTCCCTGAGTAGCTGTATATACAGTAGCTAATGTTATTATTAACATTATATTAATGTTAAATATGTGATTGCTGCCATTGGTCATTTCCAATATTCTGTTCAATATTTGTTATTGCAGTCTGGATTTCTGCCCCACCCACCCTAAATTTTAGTGCATTTCATAAATTTGTTACCTTTTTTGTTTCCTAGCTTAACTGAAAGAGCTCAGCTATTGAAAAACGTCTTTAAGAAAAACCACGTCAACTTGTACCGCTCCGAATCTGTGCAACAAAATTTGCTTCGTAAGTATTTGAGGTGTGCTAGAAAGCAACACAAAGTCAAAGGTTGCAAATAACAGCACAGTCTTATCAGAAATTTTGCCGACATGCCGATTAGCTCACATATTATTCTACAGTCTCATCTGCCTACTGCCGTGTAACTGATTTTCAGCTACATTGAAGGTTTAGAAAGTGAAAAAGCAAACGGCAAATATTTCAAACAAATAAGCAAATGAAATTTTCAAAAATTCAATTTTAAAGAAAATTAATCTCCCAATGTATCATTGAGGGACTAATTACATAAAAGAGAATAAAGGGTAAATAAAAGAAAATTGAGAAGGGTCTCTTTAACAAAAGAGTCTCTGTGAAATCTTTCACTTCTCCTCACCTTCATCTGTCTCACATGGATTCAGAGCATCTCTTTGGAATATTTTCTTGCTGGAGGTGAAGTCATCCCCCATAAACCTGACCTTCCAGCAGAGCCTAAAAATCTGGTCCTGGGAGTGGCTAATGGGATAGAGAGAAGATTCCCACCCTGTGTCGCTGGCCCTCTTGGATTTTAATGTCCTATTTCTCTCGTTTTAAAATTAACTTTTTTTTTACTTTTTATTATTCTGTAAGCCACCCAGAATCATTGTAACAGTGAAATGACCCACATATAAATTGAATCTATTAATAAATAAAATCTCTTGACCTCCATGAACAGTTTGGATGCTCCAGTGATAACCTGTTGTGCCAACAGACCTCAATTTGGACTAGATCTGATCCAAAGTGGGTCAAATGTCCTGGCACTCTAATTCCTTCTTGGAATTTGGCATTTAAAAGGATCTAAACTTGAATCAGACTTTTTTAATCATGTCACATTATCAATAAATGTGCTTCAGAGTACTGTTGCTCGCCAAATCTGTTATCCTTTCCTTCCTTTTTTTGTGCGAGTCTCTAAGGTTAGCCTGAACAAAATGTTTCTCGGTGCAGGCAGTCCTCGGCATACAATCACAATTGAGCCCAACATTTCTGTTGCAAAGCAAGACAGTTGTTAAGTGAGTTTTGCCCCATTTTACAACTTTTCAGACCTGTGGTGGTGCAGTGGTAAGAATGCAATACTGCAGGCTAATTCTGCTGACTGCCGATTGCCAGCAATTCGGCAGTTCCGTTCTCACCGGCTCAAGGTTGCCTCAGCCTTCCATCCTTCCGAGGTCAGTAAAATGAGGACCCAGATTGTTGGGGGCAAAAGGCTGACTCTGTAAACTGCTTAGAGAGTGCTGGAAAGCACTGTGAAGTGGCATATATGTCTGAGTTCTATTGTTACCTTCTTGCCATAATTGTTAAGCAAGTCACAGCAATTGTTAGATGTCAGCGTTCCGACTGACGCCCTAATTAAATCACGAGCCTCGAGCCAAGCTTCAAAAGAAATCCAGTTATTTATTAGGAGCTTCATGTTCGCACTTTCCAAGTGAAGCCAACTCTGACCTCACTTAATTTACATTCCAGCTCCCCCCAAGGTGTGTCATCAGTCACATTCTCCAACAAAGCAATTTTGTGGGTTGTAGGGAAAATTTCGCAGGTTATAGAGATCACTCCCCTCCGGCCACTGTGGGTAACCATGGAGATGGCCTTGACAGGGAGATGGCTGGAATGTGCTTTTTGTTTTGACTGAAGTGCTCCCTTGCTGCAGCTGCAAAGTTCATTTCCCATCCCCCTTGCCTATGGCAACTCGAGAGCAGGCCAGGGATGCTTTGCGAGTTGACATTAAGTCAGCAACACAGTTGTTATGTGAATCTGGCTCCCCCATTGACTTTGCTTTTCGGAAGGTCATAAGAGGTGATCGCTCAACCCCCAGGACCCTGCAGCGGTCATAAATATGAGCCAGTTGCCAAGCGTTTCAGTTTTGATCACATGACCATGACGATGCTGCAACAGTCAATAAGTGGTCACAAATCCCTTTTTTTTCCCAGTGCCATTGTAACTTTGAGCGGTCACGATACGAACCGTTGCAGGTTGAGGACTAACCTGTTATTTCATTTCCACGATGCGTTCAAAGCATTTAAAGAGCGTTAGAGCGGTCCCCACTGTTTCTCGTGTACAACCCAACTCTCTCCACTTCCAGATGGATACGCTTTCTCGCAAGATGAAAATGGAATCGTTTCGCAGTCGGAAGTAATAAGAGCCTATGACACGACGAAACAGAGACCCGACGAATGGTGAAGAAGGATGAAGGACCGAAGTCACGAGAGTTCCAGTGTTTGCCATATCCAGCCAAATTAATGCATATTTCCTGCATCTGCAAACATGGTTGAGTAACAAGATTAGGGGCAGTTGTAGGTTGTTCACTCTTATTTCTTGAAGTTCGCGCGTATTGAGTAGATATAAGCACTGTGCAACTACACTCTTAACACACCATCCGTCAAAATTTTCAAAAGGGACTTATGTTTTGTAAAACAGATGCTGAGAATTAACCTGCAGCCTTTTCAAACAGCTAATTTACAGTAAAGATGAGCACTGCTCCTGTGTGTAGACAGATAAAAGGTAAATATTCAATATTGTCCACAACCGGGTTGCTCAGCATATGCTATACATTGAGAAGCAGAGCCTTTGCCAAGGTGTATACACGGTGAAATTAAATATAATGAGCCTTTGATTTCCACAAGTGCTAAAGAACCATTTTAATTACCTTAATTCATGTGACGAAGAAAGACCGCAAAGCAAGATACTAAGAAGGAATTGGGTTAAGTGAGCTTGTTTGCCAAAGAAATTCCATGTCTTCTCCTAGTCCTCATTTGTAAAACCTAAGCGGTAGCGATAGGTGTCCAACGACAGAATTGCATGTTTGATACTCTGTACTTGAAAAGTTTTACAATAATATGAAAACTGATAGGATTTGGTTTTGATGCGTTTAATTTCCGATCTGTGGTTCCTTTCACCTTTGGCCTTACAGAAGCCTTTCTTTTTTGCGTCCATGCTCTTTTTCACAGAATGTGCACATGCAACACAGCATTCATTTTCCTCTTGTCAGGAGTCTGTGTCTTTGAGACTTGTTACCTGCTTAAGAGTCCCGGTGTGGTGACATTTGTGTGCGAGGCTCAGGTATTCTTCCCCGTGCGTATCATCAAGAACTTTCGTTTTTTTTTAAAAAAAAAAGCAATGGTTGCTTGTTGGGATTGGCAAAGAGACAAAGATGGTGCCTTAACTAAGTTTCCTGTTTCCCAAACAGGCATGAACCCTGTCAGACAAGAAAGAGCCAACTGTATTAGCGACTGTTCAGGTGTAATTCAAGGCCACAGTGCATTGCATCCATCCCTTACGGTTACAGATATATAGGCCCTATAAAGAAAAGCCAATCCAGAATTTTGTAATATTTACAGAAGTCAGAAACTGATTGTCCTTAGTGGATTGGGGTGGAAGTGTGCTTGAATATAGAGATTTTATTTATAGAGCATTTTATATATAAATTAGTTTACTATAAAATAATTTACCTTGTTAGTCACGATAATCTGAAAAAAAAGGAATCGACATTATCAGTTTACTACTATTACTATACTATACATTCAGTTTGCACTATCAGACAGTTTATTTGGGGAATTTAATAGATTCTGTTTGTACATTCCCAAGTTTGATTTAAATTAAAGTATGCAAAAGTTTGAGGATTTAAAATAACAAGGTTTGTGTATGTTTTAAATAAAAAGATTTTCTAGCTAGTAATGTAAAACTTCCCTTCTCATTAACTGAAATGTTTTGAGTAAATGTTTTTAAATCTTGTCATTTTGTAAAATCAGAATGAGAAAGCCTATTAAATTGCAGTCATTTTTCCACTATGCGTGTTAATAGCCATTTCAGTTTATCTATAATACATTTGATATAGGCAGTTCCATGTCTAATTTCTGTGACATGTGCAGTTAATTTAACTATAGACAAGCAGAAAAGTTATGATAAATTCAGTATTTCTGGGTCATGTTTCTATTCTTAAGTCCATTTTTAAAAACTACTTGTAATAGAAACACTATTAAATATTGCATATACATGAAATATATATATATGTCTGTGTATATATATATGATTTAAGTATAGTCTTTTATACTTATTCATAATTGTGCTCATAGTATAAAGTTCTCTTTCTTTGGCTAAGCAGAAAATAAACCAATAATCATTAAAACTAAAAGGGACTTACAGCCTGAAATTGCCTTCAGGAAAGTTATTTCTGCCATGGATAATTAATACATCAATAAGAGCCAAATAAATTGACCTGCAGTGCACACATACACCCACAGATTCACATCATCAAACATACACAAAATTAAGAGCATCTTTAAAAAAAAAAACCTGAATTATTGCTTTACACTAATTAATTGTGCCTCGTCTTCCACAAAATATTCCTGAAGCAAATTATTAAAAAAAAATAAAAATCCATAGCATGCTTATGATAGTTTTTAGCGGTGTATATTTCTTTTAGGCTCAAAAAATAAAATAAAATCACATAATAATCGAGCAAAGACTTAACTTCCCATTGGTTGCTTACCGTCTAATGCAGAGGTGTCCAACCTTGGCAACGCGGACTTTAACTCCCAGAATATCCCAGCCAGCCATGAGGAATTCTGGGAGTTGGGAAGTCTACAAGTCTTCAAAGTTGCCAAAGTTTGAACACCCCTGATTCTCATGCAAGCTCTTATGGACTCTGACAGAGGGATAATATTTAGTTCAGTCCGCAGTATCAAGATATACATAATATGACATATCAATTGGGTCAACACCACTCCTTTCCCAACAGTATGAAAGGACTGTCTTGCATGCAGTTGATCTAGAATAATGATCTGCATTATTTGTTTCTACATGTCCTTGGTGAATCCTGACGAAGGCATCAATCTCGCATATTAGCTAGAATTCAGGAAACGAAATCTTCCCAATTGCCTAGCCTTACAAAAACGGTAGACCACGTCCACTGCCAGTGATCATATATATATATCATATTATTTTAAACATGCCACCCTCTTCCAGGATCCCAGGCTTCGATTTTTTTCTCCGTGTTCTCCCATTTCCTAACCCTCTTAAGGAAAACTTTTTCACACGTGCGATGCAATATTTGCTTAACAGAAACTTAACGTTTTTGAGAGTGCGCTTTATAAAGTGAATGAGAGGATTATTCGTCTGTCTTGTGCTGTCTTTAAGGGTAGAGAAATGTTTGGATTTCAAGACAAAATGACATTTTCAGGTTTCTGAGAAGCTAAAACCCAAGTAGACTAGAACTGTTAGAACAAGTCAGGATGTACAAAGCATATCTAATTTGCAAGCCTGTACTTTTCATTTGAAAGAAAAGCTTTCAAAGTGATTCATTACACTGTAATGTAGAAATATATATTATAAATATAATGTATATTTAGGGATGTTGGTTGATGTGCATATTTTATTCAGCTAGGTTGGTTGTTGTTTTCTTAATTTTCCATTTTTTGCATTTCGTTCAAAGTGATAAAAATTACATTTTTCTTTGTTACCTAAATTAAGGAAATTGTACATTATGTGTATATTATGTATTGTGGAATATTTATGTTAAGGTTAAAAAAAATTCATCATTGAAAGTATCTGGTACCATTCAGAAATCAAAAGAATGTCTATAACTGTGTTATTATTTTTGATTAAATGATTGTAACAATGTGGTACTATTTAACCAGAAAAATCAACCAATTGGATATACTTTGTGAAGCCATAAGTAGTCCTGTTTTCTTAGGTTAGACTTACAAAAATAAATTTTAATAAAATATAATAGTTGTATAACAATAGAGGAAATGTTTTAAAAAAAACATAATACAATCTCAAATGGGAAGACATCTTTTTTTAAAATCAATTAATGTTTAATTGCTTACTTGCTTGACAATTGGACCATATGATCTATTTTTTTCCCCTACTGACTTCTATATTGTGGGAAAGCAATTGTTACAATTAAATTTTAGTAATCTGTCTGCATGTCACAGTGTGAATCTGAACTGATGCATGCTTGTGCTGTAAAACTCATTATTTCTTTGTTAGATGAAAGAGGCATCAAAATTTATATGTTTGGTAAGGAAAAGTGAAGTGTTGGTAAACAGCTAGATTGCCGACTTCATTTTGTTAGCATGGAATGTCAACTCAAAAGCAACTACACAGTGAAAGTATTCTCAAATAGACCCATGAAACTGATTGAATTAGTCGATGAATTACGGTGAAAATAGACAGTGATGTATCTACTTGCTTTTTCAGTTGTTTCAACAAAGACTTGCAGCCATTTAAAAGTTTGTAATTGCAAAAAAAAAAACGTGGCCCAGATGTGTAAAAGCTAAAAAAATTAATAATAATCATGTTTCAGTGTTGTTGTTTTACCTGTTCTACAATTTAAAGCCATAATGCATTAACTTCGTTCTTTGCTGCGATTTTCATGAAGTGTTGATTTAAAAAAAATTAAAAATAGGGATTATATATAATATTTAGGACTGCATTCGAGGTAAGCTAGGATTTTTCCACTCTCTTAAATCATTACTGCTGAAACTCCTGTGGAAATTGTGATGCTGCATGAATGGAGAGAATTTTTTTGACTCCCGTGTTTATGGTAGTTTTCTCAGGTTTCGTTTTAAATGGATGTTAAATGCACTGTTTTATAATGTTATTAAATTTTAATAATATATTCACTTCTATGCAGTGTTACATGTCATTGGCATTTGGTGAATGTGCATGTTCTGAACTGCAAATTTTAATTGTTTTGTCTTCTAATTGTTAAAAAAAATAAATAAACCTTGCCATTAAGTCTACTCCGATGTTTACAGTATCTGCATCTGAAATATATAACTATGTCTTCGGAATTTATTTACACGATGTAGCCAACAGATCTGAAATGTGACATGCATTCCAATACATCATGAAAGCTTATCAGACGGTGACACCTATATCCATTTTTAATCAAAATATGTCTCTATAAACTTGTAAGGCTAGTTGGTTTGCATAATTCAAATCGCTGGGGGGGAGGGGGAACCAGCAATGATAAATAAGCACATTATGTATTGCTAAATTGGCCATTAATAATTTCCTTGTTAACTATACTTTGCACGTTCTTTTCTGAGGATGATGCTGATCAGGACATATTATAAGAACATGTGAAGGAGAGAGAGGAAAAAGTCCAAATAAGTAAACTTAAACCTGTCGTTGAGAAATTAAAAGGATTTGTTCGTTCCAGTGTGAGACAGGAGAGAAACCCAATTCCATCGAACAACAAATCAACAAAGTGAAAGTAACCATGGAAGAATCATAATTACTATTTTTTAACACAAAGGAATGATGATGATTATTATTTGTTCAACTTGTATGCCGCCTTTCTCCAAAGACTCAAGGCAGCGATTGACAAACTTACATAAATTATGGCTTTTGGTAATGATTAATGATGGTTTCAACAAACCACATTTAAAACCAGGGCCTGGTGTAAGAGTGTGTAGGCTGGAAGGAAGAAATACCAAACATCCACTATGCATTTTCGATAATAATAATTTCATTGCTGGGTTTAAATGTCCATTTATTATGTCTGAATTTCATTCACCTGCCCCCCTCCCCCCACTGTATTTGTAATATAAAAATAAAACCAAGAAATTATTAGTTTAGTTTTGTCATCTTAACGCATGAACTTTAATCCTAGGCATTTATTAAGAAGCCCCATTAAAGATAAGACATTAGATACAGAATTGCAATCTAATTAACGGTAGTAGAAACAAGAACATTTGTTTTAAGGAAGGGTTGTTTCCATATTAATACTTAAAAGTCAACCATAAATACCGCTTCAAGATTATTTCTGCACAGATGACATTAATCTTTTAATACAAAATAAGCAACAGCATGAATTCAGCAGCTTGAGACAGAATTTTATACCATTAAAAAAAAAGCATACAAAATTGTAAAAATTATCTATATATTGTGTTAATTGAAACATCAAATAAGCATAGTACTTTCACTATGAAATGTGAAAACCTGAGACCACTAAAACATTTAATGTCATGGTTTCATTTTAAAATTATAACTCTGAAACATTATTCTATGCGGTGTTAATTTGAGAAATAAAAATATAATCCCGTTTACCCCCATTTCTGTCTCCATACAAGGAAATACAAATAAATACCATTATTGAGACAATGTGTAAGGCTGATAGCGCTTTAAGCATTTTACTTTAAGACTAACCCTCAATTGAATTATTTTAGAGATATTTTGAGATGACTTTCAATCTCATCTATTCTATGACACCCCGTGCTGACAGATCTAGTTTAAATCTGATTAATAAAACTCGACTTGCAATGAATTGAAATTCTAGCTGCGTTGTTTGCATTCTCATGCAAAGCTAATCGGTGATATTAGATGAAACTATCTCACAGGTCCATAAATATAAGAAGCCCTTTTCTAACCTTGCATATTCAGACTTTTATCTAAAACAAAACATCCTTTCTTGACCCATATTTCGGGGGAGGGGGAGAGAATATTCCCTGCTGCTGTCCTCCAGTTACGTGAATAAAAATCCAGAATAAAATTTTGTCCGTAGTGATCATTGTCACAAAACTATTTCTGTTCCACTCGCCCAGCCTCAAATAAAATTCACGGGTGCGATTAAATTTATATATATAGCAACAAAGGTAAATTTGTTGCAACCTAAATTATAATTTCCCTTTAATTAGTCTTAAAAATCTGTCACTTGCTCCATTTTCCTTTGCAAATCTTTTAGGGGGGGGTTAAATCGACTTCATTTTCTGTTTCTGTAACTTCCTATTTGGGATTTCTTACTTAAATCTCCTGATATGTGGTGGTGATAAACTTATTAAAAATAGTCTGACAATACATCAACAGTTAAAGTTATCAGCGGTACTTTCAAATACCGTGTTTCCCCGAAAATAAGACCCTGTCATATATTTTTTGAACCCTGAAATAAGCGTTTGGCCTTATTGCCATGCGCTCAAAAGCCCGATTGGGCGGCTTATCAGGGGAGGTCTTATTTTGGGGGAAACAGGATACATTCCATAATTCACCAGTCTCCAGAATTTACGATTTTACTAGCTGTAGTTAAAGTTAATTCTCTCCATTGTTTTGCTGAAATTTCTACTTACCGTGTTTCCCCGAAAATAAGACCCTGTCTTATATTTTTTTGAACCCCGAAATAAGTGCTTGGCCTTATTTTCGGGGAGGTCTTATTATTTTGGGGCACGTAGAGGAAACCAAAGGAAATGACGGGGACCGGCTGCGCGTGCATTTAAATATTTTCAGGGGGGGCTTATTTTAGCGCATGCACTCAAAAGCCCGATTGGGCTTATTATCAGGGGATGTCTTATTTTCGGGAAAACAGGGTATTTCTTTTTTTTTTAGCGAGCCTCTTTTTTAAATCTCTTTCTACTTTCACAAAGTGCCCTTCTAACGTAAATGGTGAATTTCTTCCCTTATCAAATCATAATTGATCCAATTGAGAAAGTCTCTTGACTGAATAAGGTTAATTTTAGATCACCAGACGTTCACTGTAACCCAAGGCTTGTTGAAGGTCTGTCTGAGGATGTTCAAACTGGGATCGCGCAGGGGGATAAGTCTTCGCGCTTAAAAACCCCTGTCACCATATCACAAACTAATTTCAAAAATCCTGGAACCCTTAATTAAAGAACAGAATAACTGAGTTTTTAATGGCCACCAAAATCCCAGACGGACTTTCTTTTGAGATCGCTGTTCCTCTAAGAAGCAACTTTTACATTGTGAATCATTCTTGGCAAAAGACCCATTTTATCGTTCGTTAATTCGTTCGTTCGTTCGTTCATTTGTATCCTGCCTTTATCATCTTTACAAGTAACTCAAGGTAGTAAAGATACCCAACACACTTTGCTCCTCCTATTTTCCTCATAACAATAACCCTGTGAGATGGATTGGACTCAAGAGAGAATGATTGGCCCAAAGTCACCCAGTCAGAACTAGGCCATCACTGTCTCCTGGTGATTGGGCCAAAGTCACCCACTTGGCTTTCATGCCTAAGGCAGAACTAGAACTCACTGTCTCCTGGTGATCAGGCCAAAGTCACGCAGTTGGCTTTCATGCCTAAGAAGAACTAGAACTCACCACCTCCTGGTGATTGGCTCAAAGCCACTCAGCTAGTTTTCATGCCTAAAGCAGAACTAGAACTCACCATCTCCTGGTGATTAGACCAAAGTCACCCACTTGGCTTTCATGTCTAAGGCAGAACTAGAATTCATAGTCTCCCAGATTCTAGCCCGGTGCCTCAGCCGCTGACTACAATCAATCACATGAATTTCCCTTCGCTGTGACAAATGCAACATTCTCATCAAAATCACCAACTCCCCTTTGACACAAAGTCCAGAAATCTAAGCAACGCCATTCGACTCTTATTAACATATACAACCTTATGACGCCAACTAGCTCTAGAAAATAGGGTAGTCCTCTCACAGGAAAATATAGTCTTCTCACAGGAAAATATAGTCCTCTCACAGGAAACCAGGCGTGGGTTACCTTTACTACCGGTTCGCATCGCGCCTGCGCTCTTCTGCAGGAGACGGACCCCAGGAAAAGATGCAGCTGCTTTAAAAAGCTACAGATAGACATTACATTTGAACATGTGGGAACTCCAACGTACTTCTGAAATTCTACTGTCTTAAATCTGTATTCCTCACCTAACAGGTTTCAGGATTTAGCTGTTAGGCTACAATCCTATTAAACTTCCCTGAGCACAAGCTTCGCTGAACTCGATGGGATTTTTTTTCCTAAGTAGCTAACTTTAGCACCGCGACGTTAAATCTTAACATAACATAGCTTAAGAATATTAATTGCTCTTGTTTTACAACTTGCTTTCAGCATAATACCCTAACTATTTATAAAACTCTTCTCTTTATAATAATTAATGAAACTACTGGTAAAAATAATTTACTACTCTTTTAGAAAGGTAATTAATGTTAATCGGGGGGTGGAAAAAAAACCAGGCATAGGTAACCTACTTCAAGGAGAAGCCTAGGTGTCAGGAAGGGCATCCAGCCAGTAAATGCTCAGCTCCATTTCGTCACCCTGACTCCAATCCCAGTGCAAGGGATTATAGCAGGGGTGAAATGCTCCCGGTTTGGACCGGATCAGACGATCCGGTAGCAATCGTGGTGGGTGGTTCGGCGATCCGGTAGCGGTGGTGGGGCGAAGCTCTGCCCACCCGCCTGGGTGTCGTTTCTTCGTGGTTTTAACCAAGAAGTAATGTGGTTTTTTTGCACATGTGAAGGTGTGTGCGCACATTTGATGCGTGTGCACGAGTGAGCGAAGCGAGCGCGAGCGCGCGGCGCGTGTACTTCTGAACTGGTAAGGAAGGTAAGTAGATTTCACCCCGGATTATAGGATTGATTAAAAGGGGAGGTAACATACTTCGAGGAGAAAGATAAGCATGAAAACATCACTGATGTTAACTAACGTCTAAATCGGGGGTGGGAATTCATTTAGACAACTAAATGAAAACAACTTGGCTGATCTCAGGAAGTTAAGGAGGATCGGTCCTGGTTAACATTTGGATGGAAGCCACCAGAGGAGAGAATCAAGTCAAAATACACCTCAACAAAGACACTAGCACTTGTGTATTGTTGCCAAGACGCCGACACGGCTGCATCCATGAAAGCACAAGGAGAATGAATTTCGCTTCTCCTCCGAGAAGCTTCTTCAGCTCTGACTGGATGGTGGAGGATGGAAGGATTGATATTCCTTGCAGACGGCTGGTCATTTGCATCCTTTTTAGTGAGTCGTTGAGGCCACTTGGAGG